CATAGTTCATAGCTTGCTTTGACATGAAAATTAAGAAGTATTTCTTCGGTAATGGTCAGAAATTCAACTCTACCCATGCAGCACTGAACACAGGGTTAGCTAACTTTAAAAAAAGAAATAGATTCACGCAGAATCAAATTGTCAGCTGTGAATTAAAATAGTTCCGTGTGAGGTTTTAGCTGCTAGGATACAACTGACAGAATAATCTTACTGACTTGATAAAAATGGAAAGTGCAGGGAACTGAAATTCATGACTTAATTCTGTTTTTAACCCTGCTAACAATGAGACGTTGGTATTTTGAAGTGGAAAAATTGTCAGGCCCCAAACCAAGAATAACGTGTTCATTCTTCCTTATTGCTCACATCTATAGAAAAATATCTTGCCAGACTGAAGACTCCTATTTGCATCTACAGCAGGGGTGTCCAACCCCAGCAATATTTAAGATTTGTTGGGCTTCAAATCCTAGAATTCCTCAGCCAGCCTTGGGAGTCCACAAGTCTTAAAGTTGCCAAGTTTGGACATCCCTGGTCTACAGTATACTCTGTGAACTTTGGGGGGGGGTTGTCTTCACCCTCTCATACATGATATCTGGGCTGAGTAGCCTCTTACTCCATTGGCATGCACCCCACTCCCTTCTGGAGATCCACCTCCTCACAAAAGCTGAGATTCTGCTAAATGTCTTTGCATTTGGGGCATATTTTAATTCCGTTTGTTTTGTTTCTCGACAGAAGAAGCGGATGGACAATTCTGGCTCCCTGGCTGTGGATGAGGCTGCAACACGTCGCATGCAGAACTTTCCCTACAGTGGAGGACTGTATGGAGGCCTGCCTCCCACCCACAATGAAGCAGGCGCCCAGACCCACACCATTCACGGCACAGCGCTCATTGGGGGGTTACCAATGCCCTATCCTAATCTTGCCCCAGATGTGGACTTGACTCCGGTTGCCCCCTCCACTGTTGCCATGAACCCAGCTCCCAACCCTGCTGTCTTTAATCCCGAAGTTGTGAATGAGCCCAAGAAAAAGAAATACGCAAAAGAAGCTTGGCCGGGCAAGAAGCCAACCCCTTCTCTCTTGATCTGAAGAGCCAATCTGAATCTTTTCCGGGAGGCAGGAGCCAGAAGCCAGGCAGGGAAGGGGGAACTGTACAAGTGCAGCCACAACTCTCAGACTTGGGATTATAGCCAGATTTTGGAGGGGCTTGTGACTCCCTTATACAACCAACCTTCAGAAGAGTTCAAAAGGTGTCTAAGAAATGAAATGCAAAAATATATCTCTCACTGCCTGTGGAACCACATTGCCTGGCAGGTTCTTTTTCATTTACCCAGACATTACAGTGGCCCAGTTACGTTGATTCTGGCATTATTCATGCATTTAAGGGGCACTGTCCTTGTGTATATGTCGCAGCTGTAGAAATGGCAGGTGGTTTGCTACTGATAGTGTCCCAGTTCTTTTTTCTTTTCTTTTTGGGTCAGCTGGTCTCAAAGGAAACCCGGGTCCCAGCAGAATTTCTTGACACTTCCATAGTATTTTGACAAACACATCAGTAATTGTTTTAATTCAAGTCAAATACCATGTGTTGCTTTTGTATCTCAGGATTATGAAGTGCTTTTAGTCTAGGTAGAATCCTTTGCGAGGTAAACTACCATCATCATTTTTATGACTGCAAACCAAATGAAATGGTCATGGAATTAATTGTTTTTTGACATTCTTGATTGGAACCACTGAAAAGATTATGACCATTTCAGATGTAGTCAAACTAGATTTAGTTAAAAAAAAATTTATGACCAGTCCTTAACAGAACAAGAATAGCCACATTTAACTATGTTGATGGACCAGGGAGTAAAACATTCAGCAATAATCTTGTATGATTTTAAGGTAGCATGTTAATTAAGATTAATGCTATTTCCCCAAGCAGTTCCTTAATGGAGTAACCCTGAAGTTGAGCCCAAGAATGGTTAGCCAGTTCTCACATCAAACTGCACATTTTAAAATCATTGCTTAAACTCAGCTCCATCATTCTGCAGTTAGTTTTTTTTTAACTAAACAAAAAAAAAAATTTAAGATATTCATTCATTCGAAATATTTGGAGCAAGACTTTGCCATTGATTTCAATGTATGAACTGTGTATCCCCAAATAGCTATTAAATTGGAGGTATATTGTCCCATATGATGTTCTAGACTGCAAGCTAGTGATCATCACTGTTCTTGATTCTGGGTATTTAGGGGCACTTCACAATCCTTTAGCACAACAGTGGGCAGGTGTCATATGTTCAAGCACTTGGTCCAGTAGATTTCATCCATGACTTAATTTCTCCAATTAAAATTGGTGATGTTTATTAAAATTGAATGAGCCAAGATAGAAGATGGTTGTCATTTTGGAAACTTTGCAGTTATCCAAAACTGCACCTCCCCACAAAAGTATTATATCAGATAACTTACCGGTAACTATTGGAGCCAAATAGTTCCTTGTATTAGTTTCCTCTGCCCAACCTCAACAACTGTTCCCCCTGTGGTATATTAGATTATATCATTGGAGTCTATAGTAGATGGATACTTTTGAACTGTCTGGTTTTCTGTTTCATTTTATATGGTAGGGCCTCTTAAAAAATGCAATTTTAAAAAGTTATGTTAGGTAACATAATTCTTGGAAGAAATTGCTAATGACTAACTTTCTGTCCTGTACTCCAAATCCCCTCTCATTTCATTTGCAATTTTATCTCTGAATTATTAATTTTCCCAAGGCTGTGGAATGATTCCTTAATTTGTGAGGGTACCTGTTCAAGATGCGATGAATTTAAAACACTTGAACTTTTCCTTGCTTGATTTTAAAGTAAGATTTAAGAAAAAGTAGTTGGTTCTTGCAAAATACATCTCCTGGGAATTTACTATGTGGTAGCATTGGCCCTGACCTCCCTGGGATAGTATAAACTTGTCTTTTCAGTTTTTTGAAGCCAAGCTTAGCTGAAATTGGGGCAGGGAGGGGAGGGATTAAGTGTGTGGGGCTCTGTACAGACATTTGTACATTTGTGTAATAGGCCTTTTCACACTGTTGAGCTTTTTATCTGTAACCTTTATTATACTGTAAATTAAATGATTGTTTTGCCAAATGGAGAGTTTAACGTGTATTCACAGATTTCACGGTAAAAATTACCCTACCTAATTTCCATTCCGTCCTATTTAATATTTTTTTAACCTTGCTCTCTTTTTTAACGAGAATATTCAAAATGTTATACAATGTTTTTAAAATCATAAAATGAATACGAAAAGTTTTGTGGGATGACAGTATGTTGTGCTAATGCTTCTAGGAAGCTTTCAAGTGGAATGTAATGGTGATATTCCCATGCTGTCCTTCGTCACTGATATTGAATGCATACAGGTAGATCTCGTTTAACAATCATTCAGTTACTACGTGATGAATAAGTAACTTTACAACCAATCCTTGCGTTTACTGATGTGTAGCACAAAGAAAAGCTGAAGATCATAAGCAGTCAGGGTTTCACTTAGTGACTGCTTCACCTAGCGATTGAGTTACCAGTTGCAATTGTGGTCACTAAATGAGGACCTTTATTAATTCTGAGGATTTCTTAAAGCCATTAAGACAAGACTGTGGTAACTCCATGGATTGTTCAAGCCTGCCTTTAAATTACGTTGACCGCACTCCCTATTCTGGATGGCAGTGAATTCGTTTAATCTATGTTGTGTAAAAATGGTATCTTCTCTCTGCGTTTAGCCTCAGGATTATAAAAGTACAGTACCCACACTTTTAGTAACATGATGAATTTATACTTCTCTCTCCTGTCCACTTATCTTTTTTCTCAAGTAGAGTACTAATTCTGTTGTTCCTTGGGGGAAAAAAGCTGTTACATTCCTTTAATCATTTGCCAGTTTTTTTCAGGTCTACAATACCATTATAGTTCATGTTTAGAGACATGAATTATATGCAGTATTCAAAGTGCGGTTGTACTGAAAATTCATATTAAAGAAGTGGGCCATAATATTGATGAATTATTGTGTCAGAATGTAAACTACGTGGATTTTCATAGCAATATTTTTCCAGGAATTCCAGAAAGGATTATTTTGGATTAAATCCCTTTTTGGATTATTCTTTTCCGGCCATACATCTGCATCTCTTCTCTTGGGATATACACCACTAGAATTCATGAAGGATCCCCATCAGCCAGAATAAACCAAGAGAAAGACATGTATTTTGGTAGTCTGCGTCAAAGTGTTTTGGTGATCCGAAATTGGAACAAATGTAATGTATGGAGAAGTACTTGAATGTCAGATGTGAAAGAAGTCAAATCTTGCTTCAAAATGAAAATGATAGTTCATAAAGGGCAAGAAACATTCTACTTTTCCCAAGTGGGATACCAATTTTAGTTGATAAGGCTGCTGGTAAAGGTAATTCAATACCAGAGGATTTTTTGGGGTGGGGGTGGGGGGTTCCTTCTAAACCAGACAAGGGCAAACCAGAAGAGAGGTAGAATGCAAAAGTATCAGTAGAGAAATTATTTAAAATCTGAGCCAACCCAAGATACTTCACACAGCTGCAAATGCTCTTGATCCAAACAACTTGAGGTGCATATATCAGTAATTGCCAGTTCTGAAACCAAAAATAGCACATGGGCACATTCCCAACTAAGTTCTTTTATTGTTTTCACACCTGTAGACAGAATATTGCCAGACTAAGCAGTCTTATCTGCATCTATCATATATTCTGTGCACTATTAGGGAGGGCCTGTCTTCAGCCTCTTTCTCTCACACCTCACATAATAATTTTATTGTCATTGTACGTGTATACACAGTATACCCATACAACGAAATTCACTTTTAACACCCAAAGACCAGGTCCAACACATAACAATCCCCAAACACTCTCCCACCCACCACAATTCCCCACTCCTAAACCACCCAAGCATCCACACAACAGACCAAGTAATTCTAACCAAGCTTTTACATTATTCTTTTAACATACTTTGAGACTAATTAAACAAGGATATTTTCAGAACAGCAAGCTTTTATTATATTTTTTACATGCATTAAATGTCAACATTGTCATCTTAACTTTCACAAATGTTTACATTCTCAGCCAGAATTTGAGTACGTAAACTACATTAATGTCTCTGTACATGCTTGTTATCTATAATTACTGTACGAATAATCAAGTCAGATTCCAGGATATGTGTTAATTCTGCTCCTGAATTTAAAACTGTTAAACTAAGAATAAATCTTAACCTACCATTTGCAGTGAAATAATCTATCCCCAAATTAAATTACATAATTATGTATGTAAGTAGGATTTCTGAGTTAGGCAAACTCCAATATTGTACAAGGATGCATAATGTGATTTACAAAGTTATGGGGGCTTCAGGTGTACAAAATTGCATAGTATAATATTTATCTGGAGCAAAGTTAAAACGTTTTCACATTCCAAAGTTTTTGTGAAATGCAAAGCATCCTAGATTGAATATCTACTGCGAATAAACTATTGCTATATCAGTAAAAAAATACTTTTTTAAAGGATGATTCCATTTACAGAAATAGGCACAAAAGCTAAGAAACCATGGCCACCCCTTCCCCACAAAACAGCTGGATGGTGGCATCTGTTCTAGACATGTCCTCATGTCCCGTTCAGTCTTATGTGTCACCATCAAGAGTACTTAGAGACTTAAATCAGGCAAAACAGTCTTGGATCTGTTAAAACTTTGGACCCAGATTATTATAAATCAATCAGACCTTAGTCAGCATCTGTAGACTTGAAATGTTCATCATCAATAGTGGAGTATATATGTCCCTCGCTGCTAAGAAACTCAACAGCTTTCCTGTATGGAAGGAAAGGAAAAAATAATTTCTTCAGTAAAATTTGAAATTTAAACTTTATTATAACTAAAGAGCAGCATAGAACAATATACTTTTTATATACAACATAACAAGAAAAAAATCACATGAAGAGGGGAAACATACAAAACCAATCAGAGTATAATTAAAATTGCCACAGTTGGTGCTACCAACCAAAATAAAGTCAAAGCTATAACATATAGCATGCAAACTAATCCTGAATTGTGATAAAATGGATAAAATCAAGATAAAAGTAGAATCATTATAAAAAAATTCCTTGTGTGTCTAATCATACTTGACCAATAAAAAATTCTATTCTACTCTGTTCTATTCTATTCTATTCTATATAAAATTACTAGGCAATACATAAGAAGAAGAAAATATGTTCATTAAGAAGCGAATCTAAACGTTCTTGAGAAAAACAAAAGGCATGCATGTAACGAGATTTAACTATTCCAAAAAAGTTATTACAAAGAAGCTTAGGAAAAAAGGGGGAAGTCTGAGGGGGGAAAGAGTTATTGGTAACATTTTGGAGGAAAATCTTGATCTTACATATCCCCACACCAAATTTAGTTCCTGTCAGACAATAAGAAAAACATGCAGAAATGCCTTGCGTGACCTGGCATTTTCTTTCATGTACAGTATTAACAAAACATAATTACAAAAAGAGAGAGCATATGATGCTGCAAAGTTGTTTGAAAGAACCAAACATAAAATGCAAAAGGGTGAGGAATGTAAAAAATGCTTAATTTGCATTATCCTGGCTATATAGCAATACAATTCTGAAATACTCTCAGTAGGAAAAATAAACCTGATCCTAATTTTGCTTTGGATACTCTACCACAGGTGTAGATTTCAGGTTTGAAAGGAATCAATATGACTTCCTTTTGGTATAGGAATACCAACAGCCCATTATGTCAAAAACCTAACTTCCCAGTCTGTTACGTACTTGAGCGTTTGTAGATTAATATTATGCAACTGAGATTTCAGATCATGAAGACTTATCCCTTCGGTTGTCATGCAGCTTTTAATCAAATTCAAAACCTTCAAAAAGCAAGAGTTCACAGTTATTCAAAGGCAAATGCAGAAAAGACCTAACGTTAAGTTTTTTAACAAAAAAATAAAGAGCCCTTTTAGTCATACAACAGCCATGTTATACGTCAATACCCAAGTTTCTGTTTTCAACCTACAGCGGAAAAACATGCAGAGATATAAAAATGAACAGTCACAGCACTCTTTCTTCAGATGTACAGAGTTTTAGTTTTATAATGAAAGTACATGTGCCAGCAGGCCATTTTTATTTAATACCTTTCACTTCAGGATTTTATTGTTGTGTTTTAAAAAGGGTCGGGAAAGTTAGTTGTGCTTAATTGTGACCTAGGTGCCCAGCATTGCAATGAAATTACATGTGAGAAATACCAGGAATGGAGAGGTTTGTGTGCAAAAGTGAAACTAGTTAGAAGCAGATAACAGTATCCGATCACTCTTGTAAGTGCACATGGAGATATGTTTAGGAAGCTTCACAGAATAAATCTGCTGCTGTGCCCAGAATTGATCTTGTAAATGGAGAAAGCTAACCACCAGATTGCAAGAACACAAACAAGCAGTCAGATGAGAAGACCTAAACTCATTGGTAGCCTCACATTGCAATGAACAAGGGCATACCATATTTTTCGGAGTATAAGACGGGCCTTAGTTTTTGGGGAGGAAAATAAGAAAAAAGTTGATTGGTGGGTAGATCCGCCTCCAGGAATACCCCCAATCAGCTGTTTCCAGAGGTGAATTTTAGCAACAGGTTTGTTGGTTGTGAGCTCTGTGCCTTGCTTTTTTTTCTGCAACTGAAAGCCTCCGAAACAGCTTCAGAAAAAAAAGCTTTTTTCTGAAGCTTCTTTCAGAGGCTTTTATTCTGAAGGACTATCTGCACTCTGTTCAATCTCCTTTCTTTGGTATTGGTACGTAGATTAAACTCTTCCCATCTGTTGGTTATTGTGTCATTCTCCAGATTTGTTAACATAGTTTAATTAGAACCTTTACTGATTCTTCTTTTGTTGCTTGCCATATTATTTTAGATAAAAACCTTTCAGAGGCTCTTTTTCTGAAGCTTCGTTTCTGAGGGTTTTTTCTGAAGCTTCTTTCAGAGGCTGAAAGAAGCCTCTGAAATCTCCATTTGCGAGGCTGGGCCGGGCTACATTCGGAGTATAAGATTTTTACCCTTTTTTTGGGGGGGGGTGCATCTTATACTCCAAAAAATACAGTACATTCAATTTCTCAGCTACTAAGATTGTTGACTGAGCAGGGACAAAGATAGCCAGGGAAATGATTGAAGCCTGGGAAACGGCTTGGCAGCATAAGGAAACAACAGCCAATCGCCGGCCATCAATATACTAATCAACCAACAGGAAGACACCATATAAATACAACTCACAGAATAGCCCAAAGCACATATTCCAGAAGACTTATTCCCTGAAGATGGGCTCCATCCAGTGGTGGGCTGCTACCGGTTCTCCCCGGTTCGGGCGAATCGGTAGCAGCAGCGATGGGAGGCTCCACCCACCCGCCCAGACGTCATCAAATACGCTCTGCGCATGCGCAGAAGCTTCTTCACAAGCGAACCAGTAGCAAAGGTAAGTGAAACCCACCACTGGCTCCAGCATGAGTCCAAAAGCTCAGAAAACCGACCCAAATTGGATCTTGCAACATTATCCTGGGACATATATATTTGCCTTCATTCATGATCTGGTAACTATACATACCTGACTCTGGTGCGGTGTGAGACCATGCATTGTTAAAGTATCATTTCCTCCTACATTTGACATACTGCTCGTCTCAAATACACCAAAGGGCTGAGGCATTTTTGAAGATTGGGCCTAAAAGTCAAGGGAAAAAAAACAATGGCCGGTTAGGGTAATTACGTATATTTCTGCATGTGTAAAATAGAAATTGAGCTCTAGCTACCTGTAACAATGCCATTTGTTAAAGCTCTCTACAGTTTTCAATCAGTTTGCTCCCTTCCACAACCTGGAACCATCTCAATATATTAAGATTGCTTCTTCTAGGATAGCCAGCCAGTTTGCCTGGACATATGTGACTAGGCCAGGAAAGGCTGAATTAGTGTGTTTTGCTTGCCCACATACCGTGTTGCTTTTTCTGAGGATCATGTGTGCATTGACAACTTCAAGCAGATGTGTAGTAAATTCATTCATATCTTCCAGGGGCATAATCTTGAATGCAACCAAGCTCTTCTTGTTCTGGAATTTTAAAGGAACACTAAACTTGTTCTGGCCAATAACTCTCAAGAGATATACTTTTCAAAATAAATTCCAAATATTCACATTACAGGAAAAAACAAGCCTTTACATTACACATAGCAGCAAATCCAATGTTTTTTTTAAAACAGTGCTAAGAATATTTTTTTAATAGTGTACATAATCTTATTAAATATTTATTCCTTTTAGACTCTTCTAAAAATTTAGATTTGTATTTTAAGTTTCTGTTCTTTAAGGATTCCAAGTAATAAAGTATTGCAAGAATACTTTATTATATAAATCTTTGTCATCTTCAGTAATATTTTTAATGAATTTCACATGCTGTATCTACCTTTAAAATTTCTGTTCTATTCTCCACAGGAAAAGTAATGTTAGTTTTTCTAACAGCCAATGCTGCTCATTCTAACAATTTTGACTACCTGGGAGCAAAATGTGGCTTTTTGTCCAATAATTTCCTAATTCTCCAATTTACTGGGGGGGGGGGGGGGGGGGGGGTGTTGGTTTTTTTTTAAATTTGATTTATATGCCGCCCTTCTCCGGAGACTCAGGGCGGCTTACAATGCGCTAAGCAATAGCCTTCATTCTTTTGTATATTTATACAAAGTCAGCTTATTGCCCCCACAACTGGGTCCTCAGTTTACCTACCTTAGAAAGGATTGAAGGCTGAGTCAACCTTGAGCCTTGGCGAGATTCGAACCTGCAGTAATTGTAGGCAGCTGGTCTTAATAACCAGCTTAATAACAGGGTGCCTTAGACCACTGTACTACCAAGGCTCTTTTAGTTTTAGGATAAGAGACCTGATTATTGAGTAACATTATAATCTAAGAAAGTAAATGCATTTTATTTTCCACAATGTAAAACAATAAATTCCTGCCTAATACTTACCTTAGAATGCTAACTGGGTTTTTCAGAGGTGACCAATGTCTTTTCTGTAAGACACTATTTACTTCTAAAAACAGTTTTGTTACTTTTACTCACACTTACTGAAGTTCTTCTCTATTCTCATGCTTAGGAACTTACCATGAGTCCAATTCACTACTGCTTGTAATTATTTTTTAAATATATTGTACTTTTCTATAGCTATATTATGCAAACCACACCTTGGTTTGCATTAACTGAGGCTGGCTGAATACTTTAAACCAAACTGGTTTCCTTCTCAGGCAAATAGCAATATGACAGAGAGAAAAACTTGTATAGTAACTAAGTACTGGTAGTAAATAATTTTGCTTAAGATGTAGCTAATTTATTTGACTGGGGGAAAAAAGGAAAGTAACATACCTATTGGACTGTAAACACAGTTTTGCTTCCTTGAAATCACAGAAAAATGTCTACATGAAACAGGTTCTCAATAGACAAGGAACACACATATGTCCCACACACAAACTTACTTGCCATCTTCTCATCTGACAGATTAAACAAGAAGACAGCACTTAAATGTCTTTTGTTGGGGGAGCTCAAAATTAATTCAGTGCTTTTGCTAAAACAGAATTATCCAGCACTATGTGACAGTTCTCATTTTCTAATGTTTCTGTTGCACGGCTCTTACCTGGAAAGATCGCAAATGACCAGCTACTTTCACATAGGTTCCTGGTGGAACGACCACATTTTCACTACCCTCCTCCTTGAATAAAAAGAGACAATGATTTCTTGGCATTTGCCAGCAATGTTTCGCAAAGTAATGCAAATCAATCTAGAATGGCAGGATTCCATTATCTTACTTTATCCCAATGGAGAACCAAAGATAAGGGAGATCAAATTGCAAACTTTGAAACAAATGTATTACATTTAGAATCCATGTTCCTTCTAAATAACTCAAGGCAGCATTTATGGCCCTCCCTTTTATTTTCTTATTAGTCCTAAAATGAGTATGGATTTGAACATGGACGTCATTTCTATAAGCTGCCACATCATACTATCTCTTTTCATGTATATCAAAGCCTGTGTGACACTTACATCCGTGTCGACCCACTGTCTCACATCCATCGGGGCTGCAGTCATGTCATCCACTTTGTAGAGAATATTTGTTGGAGCTTTTTCAGCATGCCTGATTATGCCCACAATAATAACCTGCATGAGGAAATAGATGCAAATTTCAATAAATAGATTGTAAAGTGGCATCTCCTATTAATCCTTGTTAACTTAACCCTGCAAATGTATACATCATGAATGAATCATGATTTGGCACAATCAGATGAAACTATGTCATACAAGAGAGGAAATATTTAAATAAAACCTTTGTATAGCAGTGTTGGCAGAACTAAAAACTGGAACAGAGCCTTGGTAGTACAGTGGTCTAAGGCACCCTGTTATTAAGCTGGTTATTAAGACCAGCTGCCTGCAATTACTGCAGGTTCGAATCTCGCCAAGGCTCAAGGTTGACTCAGCCTTCCATCCTTTCTAAGGTAGGTAAATTGAGGACCCAGTTGTGAGGGCAATAAGCTGACTTTGTATAAATATACAAAAGGATGAAGGCTATTGCTGAGCACACTGTAAGCCGCCCTGAGTCTCCGGAGAAGGGCAGCATATAAATCAAATTAAAAAAAAAAAAACAGTGTTCGGAAGCTTCAAATGATATTGAATGTGGCTGCATGGATGGTAAGTGGTGCCAGTTGCTCGGCACATGTAATGCCACTATTTTGTGAGGTGTGTCAGCTGCTGATGTGCTTCTGATGCAATTCAAGATGCCGTTTATCACCTTTAAAGCCTTTCATGTCTTGAAAACAAGTTACCTAAGGGACCATCTTTCTCTGATTGGCGGAGCCCAGGAAGTGTGCATTTTCTGCCACAGCACTCATCCTACACAACATTCTTCTTCTGGAGATTAGACCCTGCTGGCCTTTCATAAGGCCCTAAAGACCAGATTGTCTGCCCAGGCCTGGGACCCCAAGTGCATGAAGGGTCCTGACTCCCGGCTCTGTTAGGATTTCTTCTCAGCTGTTACATATTTTAATTTTTATATTCATGATGGGAATTATTTTTTAATTTATTTTTAATACTATGTGCCACCCAGAGTCATTTTTTGGGATGTGCAGTCATACAAACTGAATAAATATAATAAATCAATAATAAAATGTATACCTAGTAAAGGCAACTTTGAAAATTACCTGTGAAAGTTCAACTTCACGGACCCTGAAAACATCGTCCACTTGTTCGGCTGAAAATAGTTGTGATACTGTACAGGGAACGATATTCTGAGCTCTTGACCTCTGCAAAGATGAACATTTTACACTATAATCCTTTTACTGTCACTTTTTCAGAAAATAGACTGGATATAAAGAAGTACATACTGATTTCTTTTCGCTTTGGGTTGCAGACGGCGATGTAAATCCTCCAGGCGACTGTGTATAGCTAATATTGCCATAATTGCTGTCATAACCTCCTGGAAAGATAATAGAAAAAAAAAACATTTTTCTTTGCATTTTTCAGCCTCTGATTTTTTTCCAAAGCAGCAAAAGTGCATAGAAATATGTCCTATGTTACTTTTCTTTTTCTTCATTAGATATTAAACTAAAACCAAAACTAAAAATATGAGACTCATGAGCGTCTGCGGGGGGAGAGGGGAAGAAAATAAGGCATCTTGAGTACTTCTGCCAGATTTGACCCAATTACTCATTTACACAATGAAATTAATAATGCCCGGATCCTATATTTTATTTTATGCATCTTTTTAAAATTTATTTTCCTGTAAGATACCTAGGATCACACACGTGAAATGGGCTGCAATCTACCACGAATAAATAAGTGGCATCGTTTTTAATGTAATCATGGCGACAAACGAAAGAAGAAAAATAGTTTAAGAGTACAACTCCCATGAGGCACAGCCGTGCAGGCTGTGGGTGATGGGAGTTGCTCTCCCCCATTTCCCCCCCCCCAAAAAGGGGAAGGCCTTCGGAACTCCCGCATACAAGAACGCGCCATCCGCCCTCACCGTGACCAGACCACATGCTGCAGAAATAGGAAGACCCACGCGTGGAAAGACTTCCCGCTCAACTCCGGCTTTCGCCCCCCCACGAACAGCTCGCTTTCGCCCTCGCGCGTTTTTTCCCCACACGGGCGCTCGGGATAGGTCATTCCCCCGGCTTTTCCCACCTCCTCCTTTTCTCCCAACCAATCGATGGATGGGGAAACCGAAAGGGGCTGGCCCTCTGAGGGGCGGGCCTGGAGCGGAAAGCCGGCAGAAAGAGAGAGAGAGAGAGAAGCTAGAGTGGCGCATACAAAAATACTGTAGTTCCGGAACTACAACTCCCAGAATTCTCAGGAGGCACACAGATGAAATTGATATTCTGAGAATTGTATTTCTGGGGGAAATTAGGGAATTTATTAAGTGAACGGTTTTAGCTTTAGCTAACTGATCTCTTTATAGATAGGTAGTTTCTTCAGCTCTTTTTATACCCCCAGCCAGGTCGGATGGGCTATTTCCTAGGAAAGAAGCTGAAGTGCCTGTAAGATTGTACTGGCATTCAGGTTTTATTTGGGAAATTTTGTTTATTAATGGGAAACATATCCTTCTGCCATGGCTACCAATTTCCCTGGCGTTTGGCCATACCATTTTTGAAAAGCGAAAGTATCTGCAGAACTGGAGCACTTTAGTTTTATGAACGAACCTTCATTAATTGAAGGGTTATCATTTTTTAGATTCAGATAAGCCTGGTAGAACTCTTCAATCTTGTTTATTTACATGAGGATATGAAGGTCTGTTGTAAGTCTCACTGGCTGAAACCCATGATTAATGAAATTTGCTTTTTAAATATAAAATTGGGGAATGTCTCAACTTTATATATATTAAAGCGAAAACCACTTACACATTATCACGAAATCTCCAGAATGGTAAAGCCTAAAAACTTAAAATTTGGCACGTATGTTCCTCTTGGCTTCTAGGTGCTCACTAAGAAAGGATTTTTTTGATATGACCATCAGATCATTAGTATTTCATATATAGTATTATATTCACACGTTCTGATGCTAAGGAGTTAGACGTTCTACTCCCCCTCCCCACCTGAAAGGAACTCTGTTCCAACTGCCAGGTGCTTTATATTAACGCACTCTGATGCTACCCCTTCGCTAAACCGGGCATGGGCATGGCCAGGGTGTGACTTATCTAGCCTGTGGGCTGGGACATTTTACTCCTCCTCCCCCTCTGTTCCAACTGCTAGTTGCCTTATATTAACACGCTCTGATGCTGTGGAGTTACACATTCTACATTAAGTTTCAGGCTCTATGTGTCAATTTATCACGCCTGAATCATATAGTTTCGGAGCGAAGCATGGGCATCCAGCTAGTTGTCTATAAAGAAAGGAGCTGCCATCCACCTACACCAATTTGTAGAAATTTCTCCTGGTCCTTCCCAACTTTCTAGACTGTTCCTTTTTATCTCAGTGTTGCAAAGGTTTGAAAAGGTTTCAGCACAAAACACCTATTTTTAGCACCTGCTTTTTTTTAATATACCCCATGGGTATTCTTTCAGATGCGAGGATTAGAACTGCATCTTTCCCTGCGAGCAAAGCCTCTGAAACATTCCTGCGCTGATCTCTTTGTTGAAATAAAGATACAGATGTGCCAGGATAAGTGAACAGCTGCAAGCCAGCACCCAGGAAAAGCCTGAACAAGATGCAACCAAATTTTACATTTCAGAAAGTCAGTTGCAAATGGCACTTTAGGGAAGATTTTTGATAAATGAGTAAACTGCTAAACAAGATTTAGAAATTGCCTCCCAACCTGGTTTCCTCCAGATGTGATAGACTGCGGGCCATGTTGTGAACTCCTGAATTGATCTGTTCCTTGCCCAAATCAATTTTGAAAGGACTATATAAATAAATAAAATTTCATGGAATTAATTCAAGCAGCAACCTGTATATAGCTTCTGTCCCAAATCTATATAACTCTTGTAGGGAAAATAGGAGGAGGAAGGAGTATTAGGTATGTTCAAGGTGTGTATGCTTTGTGTTCTTTAGAAATATAGTAAATGTGAGAAATAAATAAATAGTAAGCAAAGTCAATATTTGTTATTTGTATTTGTAGCACTTTTATTTTAAAATGGCTTGGGGTGGAATAACAATTGTAACACTCTAGAAATCTTGTTTTCATTCAGCAACCACAAGAGTTTTTCTTCCAAACAAGTTAGATCACTCTGGACTGTTTGATGCAGTTTTTGGCAGAGAACCTGAACATTTACCTATCCCTCCCCACCCACCAAAACTTCTCTGCCAGAAAATAAACTTGTTCCATCCTGCTACGTCAACAAAGAGTTTGCAAAAGTCCTTGGTAACAGATTGAAGGCACGCAGATGTAATATAAAGGTTGATCCTCCTCCCAACAATCTCAGCTACATATTTCCTTCAGTTAAACACACTGTTGAAATATTTTACAGGGATTCTGCTAAACTGGAAGAGATGCCAAGTTCTGATGCCAAGTCAGTTCCTCCAGTAAGGCATGAGTCAAAGTTATAGGGGTGGAGAATGAAACGGCTGACGGATTGCCACAGCTGCACCTACAGAAGACAAAGCAGATCTCCGGTGCTTGTTAGCCACAAAACCAAAATGGACTTTTGGAAGATTCTATTGCTACTGATGCATTGCAGGAATGTAATTGGCGCTTCAGGTATTTTCCAGTTTTTTTATTTGGGAGGTTGTCTGTTTAAAAGAATGGCATTTAATGATAAGTTTCATGAGGCAACCCTTAAGTCTCTAGCACAGGATATGGGCACCACCCTAGGAGCTTCTTCAAGAGTTGCCACTAAATTGTTGTTTTAATATGACAGAAGAGGAACATTACACAGAAGTAATCATATTCACTGTTTAATCGATTTGCTTTTAGCTATATCCTTTCTTCTAGCAGATCAGATGCAGAGAAACCATCTAAGTTATGTGCTGTTGGCAACTGCCATTTAGTTGGCAAAACTGAACCTTTTAAAGATTTATTTCCAAACATTAATATTTTCTACTCATTTTATGCTTTATATTTGGTATGCAGAGACTCCCTTTGGACATGTGTCTTCCTTTTAAGGAGCTGATCTGTGTTTATAATTAACTCAGTCCATTGGACTCATTTGAACCACACATAAATCAAGCCAAGTTTAGGGTTGTCGTTGCCCCACCCATTTCTTGACTATGGTGCTACTTAATTTTGGGAGGGCGGCTCAGGCACACCACTCAAAATCCAAGAAAAAAAAGTTGCTTGCCTTTGGTTTAAGACAAAAAAAAAAGGAATAGTTTTGCAGGGTGGGCTTGGCAAATGTGGGAAAAACTTGTAATTGCACAGGAACAATCCTAGACATTTTGCTGTCTGAAATAAGGAACCTTGGTTCTGGTGAATACAAATATTGAGCAATTTTATTGTGAATTTTCTGTCTGCTGATGCAGGTTTCTTCTGGCATATCTCAGACCTTCATCTTGACCCAGAGTACCAAAAGTCCACAGATCCCTTGAAGGTGTGTCCATCAGCTGGCACGCAGCCAGTGATCAGTCCAGGAACCTGGGGTGATTACTTGTGTGACGCACCCTGGATTCTTATCAATTCTTCTATTTATGCCATGAAGAAGATTCTTCCTGATCCAGACTTCATTCTTTGGACTGGGTAAAAAAAAAAAAAAGCATGAGTCCTATGCCTTGTAGTAAACAACAGAACAAACTTTTATTTAACTGCTTAGCTGACTAACCATTCAAGAATAACTGTTCATTCATTCTCTTACTCAACTTCAGGATTCAGGATTCAGGATTCCTATGCAAATATGTGAATATGTTAGTTCAAGAGAGATAGCTTGTTTCTTCGTTTGCTTATTTATTTATTAAATCTGTATGCTACTTACTCATAATTGCAGGTTACCTGTGATGGAAATAAAAAGCTTTAATGAGGTTGGGAATAAAACAGAGATAATGGACGGGAATATCTACATATCTGTCTTTGTAGATTTCAATCCCTTTTATCTCCCTGCTTCTTAACCTAATCACCTGTTAGGCTAATTTCTATCAGAGTTGAGACCTGGTTTGTACACTTATTGTATTCTTTCTTATATGTAGCTTATCTAGGTTTATGCCTAGTATCTGTAGGCTTCACTGGAATGTGTTTTTTGCTGTTTTCTAGAGATGATACTCCTCATGTGCCAGATGAAAAGCTGGGAGATAAAATCGTGTTGGAAATAATAGAAAAGCTAACTAAGCTGATCAGAGATGTCTTTCCAGGTACAAAATGCTAGAATAAGTGGGCAATAGCAAACTAAGGCCTGTAAAAGGCCATAACCAGATGCGGCCTTTTACATTTTGTATAAAAGTTAAAATGATACATTTATTGTTAACACCTATGTATTAGAGAAAACACAGAGAAAAGGGTACACATGTGATGGTTTTGTGAAGTTGTTCAATTGTTCTGGTGCAATTTTTTTATTAAATCACCATTATTATGGTTAGTTGCTACAGTCAGCCAGATGTTTAGACTAGGTTATTATTATTATTAAAATGAAATGATGTTTAGAGCATTAAAAATATTAATTTTTGTTTTGCTGGCTGCAGCCAGTCACATAGCAGCAAGATCTTGGAAAACAGGGAAGGATTTGAATATTTCTACATGGTTGCAAATACGTATGTTGGATATCACTTTAATAGAAAAATTGATTGAAAAAAATATTTCAATGATGAAGATGATGATTTTTATCTTATTTGGCTTAAATGTATTATGTGCAACAGAAACATACTGATTGCTTACTAGCCAATTCCATATTCCTGGTTAATTAAATTAAATTATACGTATTTTACTTTCATGTGGTCTTCATTGTCCTGAAAATAAGATTATATGGGGTTCCAAAAGTTAGGTGTAAAGTGTACTTTTGGAAAGAAAAAACTCGTAGTCTAAATTAGTACTAAGCAGTGGGAGTGGAATAACTTTCCCATTCTGCTTTATTCCAAATGTTTTGAGACTGCAAATTTCAACATTCCCAGCCATCACAGAGGTGTCAGATTGTGGAAGACAATAACAGAACTTTCGTCTTTGAAGGTTACTGAGAATATGTTGCCTAAGCAGACAAAATTGTATATATTCTGCTCTCAGGTTTCTCCAAGAAATATGTTCCCATTTCAGGATAATGGAAAGAATTTACATATGCCGGTATATTTCCTTAGGGGGGGAAATGTAGCCCATTCTCCATAACATGACTTGGTGCAGACAGCATATGAAATCCTAACTAAGGGTTCATATGGTTGTTTGATGTTCCAGATATAGCAGTGTTTTTCAACCTTAGCCACTTTTAAGATGTGTTGGCTTCAACTCCCAGAATTCTCCAGCCAGCATGCTGGTTAAAGAATTCTGGGAGTTGAAGTCCACACATCGTAAAGTGTCCAAGGTTGAGATTCATTTGAGATATAGAATATGTACGTGTTCACTATGTTTCAGAATCCTTTTTGCTTTGGCTTTCCATATGCTCAGCTCCATAACTTCATAAATTTACCATCTGATGAAATTAAATTTAAATTTACCATCTGATGATCAGTTTCAATCCATGACTTGATCTCCTTGTTTGGTGATTCTCTTGTCTAGGTCCACATTTTGTAAATTGATATAGGCTCAGATAAAAGTTAAGGTAAAGGTTCCCCTTGCACATACGTGCTAGTCGTTCCCGACTCTAGGGGGCGGTGCTCATCTCTGTTTCAAAGCCGAAAAGCCAGCGCTGTCCAAAGACATCTCCATGGTCATGTGGCCGGCATGACTAAACACCAAAGGCACATGGAATGCTGTTACCTTCCCACCAAAGGTGGTCCCTATTTTTCTACTTGCATTTTTTACATGCTTTCGAACTGTTAGGTTGGCAGAAGCTGGGACAAGTAACTGGAGCTCACCCCGTTACACGGCACTAGGGATTCGAACCGCTGAACTGCCGACCTTTCAATCGACAAGCTCAGCATCTTAGCCACTGAGCCACCGCATCTCTGTTAGATAAAAGTTACACTGGTTGTAATTACTCTGTGCCGAGGTATACCACCTCTGGTACCCCTCTTCAGATTTTGATGGAAAAAGTAATTTTGAGTCCACGCATCGTAGGAAACCATAATGTGATCTCGTTGTGAACTCCACCATTCAGATTTGTATGTAAAGTTTTACGCTTAGCATCAGATCAATCTAGGATGGCTAAGACAAAAGATGTGTGATTTGCTTCTCCCTACTGTGGGACAGCTTTCTTTCTTATACCATTCTCTACCAAGCTATATTCTTTCTTGCTTCCTTCAGATACTCAGGTCTATCCAGCAATGGGCAACCATGACTTCCACCCCAAAAATCAGTTTCCAGCTGAGGAGAACAAGATCTACAATGTAACAGTAGACCTATGGCGCGCTTGGCTTGATGAGGCCTCCATACAGACATTCAAAAGAGGTATGTGATGGCAGATTGCACTTGCCCCCCCCCGCAAAAAAAGTTTCCTCTGATTCTAAATAAGGGGCTGTATGGAAACGAACTGGAGTTAGTAGCCCAACGATCCAGTTAATCAAATTAACTGCTTCCTACCAGACGCTCTCTGGTCCAAACTGACCTATTGACTGTTTTGCAGGTGCTTTCTACAGTCAATTGCTGCCTGGTGTTGGAGCAAGGAGGCGAATAATTGTCCTCAACACCAATCTCTACTATGAAAAGAATAATCGGTCCATGAGTCTGGAGGATCCAGGAGGCCAATTCCAGTGGCTGCAAACTCTGTTGACCAAGGCATCGGAAACGGGAGAAAAGGTTTCTTTCAGCTGCCTTATTTTCTTGTTTTAAATAATACTTCTAAGCAGTAGTGGGATTCAAATAATTTAACAACCAGTTCTCTGCCCTAATGACCAGCTGGGTAGGCGTGGCTGGGTGGGCATGATCGACTCGACATCACTCATGTTGAGGGGCACCTCGCCTCGCCTCACCCCTCCCCTCCCAGCCATTACTTGTCCCACCCAGTCTCACCTCACCTGGCCTTTCCTCACCGGGCACCTCACTGGCTGCTTGCCTGGACTCCTGGCCACTCGCCCGCCTGGACTCCAGGTAAGCGAGCGGCCGGGAGGTCAGGGAGCGAGCAGCTGGGATGCCAGGTAAGCAAGTGGCCAGAAGGCGAGGTGAGCGGCCAGGAAGCAAGGCGAGGACTGGCTGGGAGGGGTGGGGCGAGGCAGGGCCAGGTGTGGTGTGGCACGCTATTCAGCCAATTCGCCAAACTCCACAAAAAATTAGCTACTGGTTCTGTTGAACTGGTGCGAACCGGCTGAATCCCACCACTGCTTCTAAGCCTTTTTGGGACAGAACTATAATCAGGGTAATGTCTCAACTCAACTGCAAAAATGCATTCAGCACTATGAAGCAATTGTCAAAGATATATCTCTGGAATGTCAACACAATTCCGTAATGTCATGATTTCAAGAAGGAATTAAAGGATACATACATAATTAAGTCACAATCCATGGTTTAAACCATAATTAGTTAGGGTTACATTACATGCCAAGGCATAAGCATGGTTTGATTTCTAATAATAAAAAATGGGATAAGCATTTTATAATATATATATTTAATAAATAAAACTAAACCGTTTTACGATTTAGCGTGGTATGAATGAATCTAGCCAAAGAGAGTATGAATCATAGATTGTAAGATCTACAAAGAGCCTTGGAAACCATTAAGTCCAACTTCCTTGTGCAGTTTAGGAGAAGGGTTTGTACCAAACCTATTCAGATCGAAGCCAACAAGCTGTAGATTATTTGTTTAAAATTTCTATAACAGGAGTTTCAGGTCTATATAGGTTGAGAGAACATATCTTGAGAGAGGATATTGGGAAAAGCAGAAATTTGGAGCCAGTTCTGATCCCACCACTTCCCAAAGCATTGATCAGGCTAGCTGATGATCATGAGAGCACATCAGGTTGGGGAAGGCTAGGAAACTGTATCCCACAGTCTTTAGTATGTCACTTTTTCCCCTGACTATCCCTTCTCTGATCTATCCCAGGTCTTTATTATTGGGCATGTTCCTCCTGGCATCTTTGAAAAGAAACGAGGTAAACCCTGGTTCCGAAAACACTTCAATCAAAGATACACAGAAATCATTCAGAAACATCATGCTGTAATTGCTGCGCAATTTTTTGGGCATCACCATACGGATAGTTTTAGAATGTTCTATGATAACAAAGGTACGTCCTCTGGAATTCTCTTGATGTCTTCCAGTCTGCAGAGCAACAGGGTTGTGGGGCAAAAGTACTTAATAGGAAGGCAAATAACGGGACTGGACTTTACTGGGAGCTTGGCAACTATCTAAAGATGTCATCTGTCTGACAATTGAAAAAATGTCATATAATTTAGCAGTCTCTTTAAAAAGAGACTGGACAATATGAAATGGCATAGAATCTCCTGCCGGGGTTGGACTAGAAGACTTCCAAGGTCCTTCCAACTCTGTTATTCTGTTATTCAACAATATTTCCAGTTACCTTACATTAGCTGCCAAAAAAGCCTATAATAAAATAATATTTGCCCAGGGATAAGATCTGTGTCAGAATCTACCAGCAATTAGTATATTCCACAAAAGGAGAGCCATAATTGAATGGAGCATATTTTCCAATCCCTACCCATTTAATTAAGATAGAGGGGGTGCCCCAAAAGTGATTGCAAGTTTTGCATTGCCAAAGGCAGTTCCTTGTCTCATCTGCCAATTGACACATCGTTGGGACTTGAATGCCACTATTCCAGTCTGCATATCACTCCTTGCTCCATTATGGATTTATATCCTATCTGGCAAGGAACTGACTGTTGTGGTCTGCCGGCGGCCTGCAGAGCTGGCAGCAGAGTTGGACAGTGAGGAGGTTGGGGAGGAACAGGGGCCAATCCTGAAGTCTGGGGAAGCTCGGACGAGGGCTCTGTGTTGGAGGCAGAGATGGGGCCAGGGCCATCTGGGAGTTATGTGTGGACTCGGAAGCCTCCAGAGTTGGATGTCAGCGAGGAAGAGGAACAGAGGGAGCCTGTTCCCAGTGCACGCATGCGCAGAGCTGCCAGAAGGCAAGAACAGTTAAAACAAAAGGGTCGACTCAGGAGTAGGGCTTGGAGATGATTGGCCCCTCCCATAAGACATAAAGGAGAAGCAAAGGCACGTGGGCCTTTGCAGGAAGCAACTGTTGTTCATGCAACAACTGCAGCTCTATTTTGACTCTGTGTTTCTGTGTGGCCTTGCACAGTTAATTGGCAATTAGGTCTTGACAGCGTGTCAAGGGAGATAAAGGTGGGTGTTTATCACCCTTATCAGAAGAACTGTGGCAGACGTCTGTTGGACTCTTTACAACTATTTGGGACTCATCTGTGAATGAACAGATTGAGAATGAACAGGCTCTGAATGAGCAGAATTCACAGCCATAATAAGAAGGTTTTTGGGACTCATTGTGTGCTTTTACTGTATCAGGAAGCCTAAGTCAGAACACTGACAACATCAATCAGTCCTCAAAATAAAATGTGTGTCTATGTGTGTGTGTGATAAAATTCCCGACGTAGTTTGTCTTCTCTTTCAGATTCCCCGATCAGTGTCATATTTTTAGCTCCAGCAATTACACCTTGGAAGACAAGCTTGCCAGGTGTGCAGAATGGAGCCAACAACCCTGGCATCCGTGTTTTTAAATACGACCGTAGCACTCTGCTCGTGAAGGTAGAAAGAGAATTCCATTTATTGATGTTTGTCTCCAAGAAATCAGGGTGCCGGCTCCGGAGGTGATCCATGTAGCCACTGAGGGCAAGTTATTTTGCCCACTAGAGGTTTCTATATGGTCCCAATTGAGTTGGACTCCTGTGACTTGCTTGAATCCTATTCATATTGACAGCCTTGGGAAGGAACAGGGGAGATGCTGTAGAGAGCCGAGCAATAGTCATGAGGATCCTGCTGACCATCAGAAGGATTACGGCCTGATTCAAAAAATTCTGAAATGCAATGTTAGTTTATTTGACTGACTGAGCATCCTGCCATGGAGAACCTAGTTGTGTTAGTTGTCCTGGTTGCTACAGCCCAGGAAAGTGAAATGAAGAAAGGTGGAAAGTGAATTGGATCTCCTTTTTGACTGCCTTGACAGAGGGCAAAGGAAATATAATGGCTATCTGGCAGGCGCAAAGAATCAGGACCACCATTGGGTTACATATTCAAGCTTATTCACAAGAATCTGGTTCAGTATGAATTGGCCCCGGATAAGAATTCAGGAGGGGTGGACTTAGAGTACTTGTGGGAATGCAATGACTCTAAGATGATGATGTATTTAACTCTACCCGCAGTTCTGCCTGTTCTCCTACACACTATCTTCCATCATTATTAAGTTTACTACATCAGGCTGCAAAAAATGTAAATGTCCAGTAGATGGGACCAAAGAGTTGAGTTCTCTGTATGTTTTTGCTGCTATTGCATAGTTGTGTGAATTTCTGCAGCCTGAATCTGGCAGCTCACCTTGATCAGTTTTAACAGATTTCTTAGTATTTCTTCCAAATGTTTTCTGTTCCTTTTTTTTTTTTTTTTTTAGGATATAGTAACTTACTATTTAAACCTCACCCATGCTAACATGGGTACTCCTGAGTGGAAGAAAGAATACAGCCTGACAGAGGCATACGGGATCCCGGATGGTTCTGTTCGCTCCATGCATCTGCTCCTGGAGAAGCTTATGAGTGATGAAGGCCAGCTGCAGAAGTACTACCGGTATAATTCCGTGCAGTACGACAACACGGTCTGCAATGATAGTTGCCAAACAGATCACATCTGTGCCATCAGAGAAGTTGACTTTGAAAAATACAATCAGTGTGTTATAGCCAGAAGTGCTGCAGCTGCAACCCCAATTCTGGACATTTTCTTACTTTGTCCTACAATGGGTCTCCTTACTTTAGGCCTCTTCGACATCTTGAGCAAGCTGGGCCACAAATAGCACCATGCGGATTCCACAGGAGCAAAGAAGAAACACAGAATGTAGTGACAGTCACAGGGGATGGCATCCTGAGAATTTGGACCATCATTTCTGATGAATTTTTGAACTGCAAACTCAACTGAACTTCATCATCATCAGATCAAAATTATTATTTTTCTTGCATTAGGATGGTGCAAGGTTTCCCTTGGAAAAAAACAAACACACACTTAGGTGGCAAAGCTTCTAATCTAAGAGTATCGTTGCTATGACTTCAAGAGTTCGGGATTGGGACGTTATGTTGCAGTGGCATAAAAGGGTATTTCAAACTGATGTTAGTGAAAGAGGAGAGGTTCTAATGGAATGTCCCAGAGCGTGGACTCCTCTTCTTTAACATCCACATGAAATTGCTGGTATCAATACGTTGATATTGGGCTTCAGATCATTTAGCAACGGGTTCGCTGCCCCGTTTCTGGGTGGGCGTGGCCTAGTCAGCCACCTGCACCACAGCAGGCGGGGGGCATTTTTCACTCTCCCCAGGCTCCAGAGGCTTTCCTCGAGCTTCTGAGAGGGTGAAAACAGCTTCCTCCAGAGGCCGGAAACAGGCCTGTTTTGGAATCTCCGGTAGGCCTGTTTTTTGCCCTCCCAGACCCTCTGCATGTTCCCTGCATTTACCTGGAATGATGAACGGGCCGCATGGAGACTCTTGGGAGGGGAAGGGAGGGGAGGGGAGGGGTGGGCATTGCCAGCCAAGGGTTGCATTTGGGGGTTCGCTGAATCCCAGCGATCCTTGGCTAGAGGATCGCCCCGAATCCTGCCGAACCACCAGGAGCCCACCCCTGGCTGATCCCAATTTTACATCTCCACTCCAGGCTGAGTAAATGACATTTTGGAATTCTTGATTTGATACCCAAACACTATAAAGAACTGGATTCAGTGAAACAGGTTCAACTGAAAACTCAGTGGAGTTATCATTTATGCCAATGTCTTCAGTTGCACATGTGTAGAAAATGAATGTGTGTAAATCAACACAATAGTTTGATTGGAAATCTTTATCTTCTGCTGAGGGCACCTTGGAATCACAGATTCAATAAATTTTCAAAAGATTGTTTAATTGTTTGGGTTTTTACTGCCCTAAATTGAGATTAAGGGGAAATTTTCCTTATACGAAACTTTGTTAACTTTTAGGAAGGGAGTAAACCTGCTCTTCTAGAGAGCTTTTGTTGAGAAGCCCACTTAGATAGACAGTAGCTCTGCAATATGGTTGGTTTTAGGTTGTAGACTGTTATATTTTTAGAACTGTAAGCCACCTGTGACCAGTAGTGGACTGCTGCCCGATTCGAACCAATTCGGGCGAACCGGTAGTTCCAACAATCAGCTGGCTCGCCCCCCCACCCCTGCTCTATCCTGTCCTATATTTCCTTCTTTCTGGCTCAGCTGATTCACGCGACCCAGCTGATTTCCATGCCTCCGCTGTTCTACATACCAGGGCTGCCTTAGAAGGTAAGCAGCTGAGCTTCAAATTGCTGTATTTTGAATGCTGTGCGCAAGTGCGTTAGGTGAGCGAAGTCTGCATGCATGCACAAAGTCTGCATGCATGCACAAAGTGCAGTGTGAGTCCCAGGACATGACTCATGATTTTCAATGCTCAGTTTTTTGTTTCATTTCCTATTTTATCCCATGTCTACAATGCCATAAAAGCAATAAGGGAAGATTTGCAGTGTTTTATGACACAGAATTTTACCTCAATAGAAAGGCAGGCCTTGTACAGAGAATAGAATAGAATAGAATAGAATAGAATAGAATAGAATAGAATAGAATAGAATAGAATAGGAATAGAGTAACAGAGTTGGAAGGGACCTTGGAGGTCTTCTAGTCCAATCCCCCTGCTTAGGCCCATGGTTCAATTTGGAATTCAATTCGGGGTCTCTTGTTTTTCTTTACAGTGGCTGGAGCAGACAATCTTTTAACTTCAGCAATTTAACACAGACACAGAAATATGAGGTTTATTGACTTAATAGAACTTAAATGGCTTAGGGTAAACAATAAAGGTGTTAATATTCTACATGAAATAGAGGAACTTAAAAGGAGGATTCAGGATCAGCCTTTTCACAGCAATTGTTTAATGTTTTTTCAAGTTTTCATAGAGACGAGACAAAACAAACCTAAGATTTCCTGGAACCTGAAAATAATATTTACATATAGGGCAGAAAAAGTTGGTTTGACTTAGGTTCCAGTCCGCTTGACTGTCAAATTAAAGAAAAAGATGTAATATAAAAACTGAGATGAGGGGACATACCAATGCTCCAAAATAAATAAATAATCGATCTTCAAATATTTTTGAGTACCAATTTTGACTATTGGTAATTTATGTGGGAACTACAATGGTGCTTTGAGGTTTTGGAACCTTTGGGATTTTCAGTATTTTTGCATAAATATAGCGTAAAACATGATCTGTTCTCCATAGAAACAGTGCAGTTCCAGGCATATTTTCCTGACATCTTATTAACTCCAACTATGTCTTCAAAGGATTTTAGCCTTGAATGTGTTTTGAGGGCTTATAAAAAGGAAACAAAAGAGTTGAGGGAATTAACTTTTAAAATTCCAGTATGCGTCAAACTGCATGAGTCAAAAGAACTCAGAATAAGCAATTGAAAACAATGAAAGTAAGTGTCATGAGAGCCCGTGGTCTTGCAACAGTTCTAAATTAGGCATTTTAAAGTATTACTCAATCTATGAAAAAGGGAATAAATACATCAGTATGCACGAGAAAGCATTTAGCAAGAAGGTCTGCAATTGACCTAATCCAGTTATTCCTGCTGGGAATTCAAACTTTTCATAAATACCTACAGGTAGTCCTTGACTTAACAAGCATTGTAATTGAGCTAAAATTGTGGTTTGTTAGCTGTGGCTTATGGCTTCCTATTCCACAAACCTATCTCTATCTATCTGTATCTCTCTCTATATACACGTAGTCCTCAACTTATGAATCACAATTGAGCTCAAAATTTATGTCGAGAAATTTGTTGACCTTTTTCCCCATTTTATGACTTTTCTCGCCACATTTGTTAAGTGAAACACTTAAATTAGTAACATGGTGGTTAAGGTTAATCTAGTTTCCCCATTGACTTTGCTTGCCAGAAGATTGCAAAAGGGGATCACATTACCCAGGGACACTGCCATCATCATAAATGTGAATCAATTGTCAAGCATCTTACTAATGTAAATCACGTGACCATTGGGATGCTGCAACAATCATAAGTGTGAAAAATGGTCACGTCACTTTTTTCAGTGCCGTTGTAACTTCAAATGGTCACTAAATGAACTGTTGCAAGTCGAGGACTACGTGTGTGTGTGTGTGTGTGTGTGCGCACAGCCAATCATCTCTGTAATTTAACTATGCTTAATTGAATAAACTGGAGGGAGGGGGAAATTAATGTGTAGGAACTCCTACATTAACATGTAGCTTTTTTTCAAGAGGCAACTGGACTTTCTGGTTTGTTTTTGAAGACCTTTCGCTTCTCACCCAAGAAGCTTCTTCAGCTCTGAAAAAGCACCTTTGGGACAACCATGACCTGGATGACTTGAGAATCTCCACAGACATCCTACATTAACACTTGGCACAGCCTTCTTTGTACAGACCCAAGAGGAAAGCCTGGATTTTGGGTATTTTCTGCCACTCCTTGCAAAAAGCCGCCTGATGATATCACAAAGCTGAATCACGAGGCCGAAGCCTAAATCAAATATATTATTCCGGCCATCTTTTGCACCACAGCCACATATGCAAAAAAAAAAAAAAAATACTTGCCTCAATGCAAGAAGAAGAAAAAAAGTCATTTGCCTCAATGCAAAACCAAAAGAAAAAAAAAACCCTCTGCCAAGCTGGGCATATGGTGCCAAGGCAACCCCGGGGTGTGAAAGGTGCGTCGACCCAGGCTCGACACTCCCTTTTCAGGACGGTCCTGGCAACCCGTCTTGGGGTAAACAGACGGAGGAGGAGGAGGAGGAGGAATAGAAATAGAATAGAATAAAAAAGTTGGAAGGGACCTCGGAGGTCTTCTAGTCCAACCCCCTGCTTAGGCAGGAAACCCTACACCACTTCAGACAAATGGTTATCCAACATCTTCTTAAAAACTTCCAATGTTGGAGCATTCACAACTTCTGGAGGCAAGTTGTTCCACTCATTAATTGTTCTCACTGTCAGGAAATTTCTCCTTAGTTCTAGGTTGCTTCTCTCCTTGATTAGTTTCCACCCATCGTTTCTTGTCCTTCCCTCAGGTGTTTTAGAGAATAGCTTGACTCCCTCTTCTTTGGGGCAGCCCCTGAGATACTGGAAGACTGCTCTCATGTCTCCCCTAGTTCCTAAGAGGAAGGCGGGCTATCCTCTTGGCCTGTTCCTTCTAAGCCGAGAAAAGAGGCCCGCTTCCGTGCCGGGCGGGTCACGGGCTGCGCTTTCTCCCCCACTGGGTCCCGCCTCTCCTCCGGGGAAAGCAGGCCCGGCGGCGGGAGAAGCGAGTGGGGGGAAGGGGGGAAGCCATGCAAGAGGCCCGTGCGTCCCGCTCCGAGCCGTCGAGGAGGCGAGGAGAAACCCCGCTTTCCTCGCTCCCTCCAGGTCGGAGAAGGAGGCGCACGGACCGGCTCCCCGCAAAAAGGGACGGGAATAGTCCGTCCCGGGGCGGGGAAGGGGCGTTTGCAAGGCCTGAGGGGAGCCTGAGAGGTGGGGTCTGAGAGGGAGGTAGGGGGGAATCCCGGCGAAGTTTCCTACTTTGCGCTTCTTTAGCGGACAGCGGAGCTTTGCTCCTCCCGGCAACCCGCGGTAGGCGAGGCGAAGTTCTGCAACTGCTCCGGATGAACCAAAGCGGGCGGCCCAAGGCCTGAGGAACCTCCTCCCGAGGCCCTTTTCCCTGCCGTCCAACGGGGACCATGGCTAGGACCGGCTGCGGTCCTGGCTGCAGCCTTCCCCAGCCGCCTCCGTTTCGCTTTCTGGACCTGGCCTTTGCCCTGGTGGGCACCCTGGCCTTCCTGCTGGACTTGGGGGCCGATGTCTGGGTGGCTGCCAGCTACCTCCGAGCCGGCCACTTGCAGTGGGGCGGGCTGGTGTTGGGGCTGCTGCTCCTCTCCTCCTTGACGACCCAGTTCTTTAGCTGGGCTTGGTTCCGAAGTGACTCCGGTAAAGAAGGCCTCTCCCAGCCATCCGCCCGGACCTCGAAGCTGCTCCATGTCCTACAGCTCGGCTACCTGTACAGGTAAGAAGAGCAAGGAGGGGATGCTTCCGTTCATTGACTGGGGCAATTGCACCCAGCACACGCTCTTTCCCTTGAATACTTGACACAACCTATCTAAACAAACACTCTTTGCCAACCCTGCCAACCTGACTGAACTCCGGTGCCTTTTTATCCACATGCCAGAGTCCGCATCACAGCACCAGGCGCTTCCAACTAACTTGGTTGGCTGTGTTTTAAAAAGGATGAGTCATAAGTCATAAGTCATGAGTCATAAGTCGCAAGGATAGCAGGGGGGGGGGGTGCCAAGAACTTGGCCAAAGTAAAAGCAAAACGCGAATTAACCCAGTGGGTTAAGTTACAGTTGGCTGCACGAACAATAATGCTTAGAAGCCCTTGAGGCTGCATTATGTGTGATTTTAATGATCCTGTTAATTACACTTATCTTGCATATTTCCTGGAATGAGAAGAAAAGTGAAGTCTGTTAGAATTTAGAATGACAGAGTTGAAAGGGATCTTGGAGGTCTTCTAGTCCAACCCTACACCACTTCAGACAAATGGTTATTTAATCTCTTCTTAAAAACGTCCAGTGTTGCAGCATTTACAGCTTCTGGAGGCAAGTTGTTCCACTAATTAATTGTTCTGTTAGGAAATTTCTCCTTAGTTCTAGGTTGCTTCTCTCCTTGATTAATTTCCACCCATTGCTTCTTGTCCTGCCCTCAGGTGCTTTGGAGAATAGCTTGACTCCCTCTTCTTTGTGGCAGCCCCTGAGATATTGGAAGACTGTTATCATGTCTCCCCTAGTCCTTCTTTTCATTAAACTAGACATACCCAGTTCCTGCAACCATTCTTCATATGTTTTAGCCTCCAGTCCCCTAATCATCTTTGTTACTCTTTTCTGCACGCTTTCTAGAGTCTCAGCATCTTTTTTACACCGTAGCAACCAAAACTGTTAGGAGGTACTGCTTTTAGGGATAGTTTAGGATCTTACAATAAAAAGTTTTGTCGTATACTCCTCCAACGTCATAGAGAAAGTACTGGTTGCTGGATGTTTTTGGGTCTGAAATTTGATCACGTGACTATGGAGATAGTGCGGTGGTCATAAATGTGGGGACTGGTCATAAGTCACTTTTTTTTCAGTGCCGTTGTAATTTCAGTCACTCAACAAATGGTTGTTAAGTCAAGGACTAACTGTAAATAAGTCTCCCAGGGCTGCCATTTGAGAAATGTTCCCACAGCATTGTTTCATAATTTTAAATCTTGCCTTCTGTGTTGCCTTGCATAGGTGTCTCTGTGTCCTGAAGGTAGGTTTCCAGGCGTGCAAGATGGAAGATGCAACAGCAACTCATCAGGCCTTTGCCATTTTCCTGTCACATGATGTCAGTCTCTTGCGCCTCTTCGAGACCTTTCTGGAAAGCGCACCTCAGCTCATCCTGGTGATCTACATCATCCTACACACTAACCAAGCTGAGATATTTCAAGGTGAGCGCCAGTTGGGAGGGGCCGGTTTTGGAGGAATGTGAGCTGCTGCCGGCATAAATTCCTGCTATTTGCAGTATCCATTTTATTTGTCAGCCACTCAGTCATGTAAGTGAGAAGGGCAATGGAGAAATTTGGTAAATAAATAAATAAAATCCAGCAGTGGATGTCAGCATTTTAATAGCCAGATCTTCAGCCTCTTGAGAATTCAGGGTTTGTAGAGATACAAAAACAATGTGAAAAAATTAACCTTGTTAATTTGTTCAGTGAATTGGAAAAGGATGTTCAAAATCAAATCAAAATCCATCTATCCATCTATGCACAAAGTAACAATTCAATGGAGATCTTAATATTAATTTAAGATTGAATCTTCAAACTGTCATCAAGAAATCAGTCCTGAGTCAAGGACTACATGTAGGTTCCTCCTTGATTTTATTGTCAATGTCAATTTACTGTCAATGTAGAGCAGGGTTACAAACTTGCATCCCGCAGGCTGGGTATGTCATGTACTGGCCACGCCCACGCCTGGTTTAGCGAAGGGGGAAAAGTCACGATACGACACCCCTGGTCACGGAGGATTGCATAACAGTGCAAAGAAATAGTAAATTCACTAGAAATTACAATAATTTAAATAACTGAACGATTCCTGAATTACAAGGGATAGATTTTATAATCTATTTATTTTATTTATTTATTTATTTTGTCAAGCATGTATAAGATAACATAAGTATAAACATGATTATGAATACAGGAAATGGATACGAATAAATGGGGACAGTAGGACAGGGACTGTAGGCACATTGGTACACTTACGCACGCCCCTTACAGACCTCTTAGGAATGGGGTGAGATCAACAGTTGACAGTCTAAGGTTAAAGTTATGGGGATGAAACCACAGAGTCAGGTAGTGCATTCCAGGCATTCACTCTGTTGTTGAAGTCGTATTTTTGGCAATCGAGGTTGGAGCGGTTTACCTTAAGTTTGTATCTATTGTGTGCTCGTGTGTTATTGCGGTTGAAGCTGAAGTAGTCATTGACAAATAGGACGTTGTAGCAGATAATTTTGTGTACCTTTTCGACATTTGCAATGAGGGAGGTTCTTCCTCAACCTGATCTCTGTTTCCACTGCCTTCTCCCTTGTTTTCTTTGCAGTGCTTGGGATTTGCACATCTTTTCTGTGTATCACCTGGGCCCTCTTGGATTATCACCAGACCCTGCGCAGCTTCCTGCGGGACAAACACAAGTTGGCCTTCCTGTCTTCGGTCCTCTACTTCCTGTGGAACTTCCTATTGATGTGTCCTCGCATTCTCTCGTTGGCGCTCTTTGCAGTAGTCTTCTCAGGCTTCATTTTCCTCCACTTCCTAGTCATCTGGTTGGCTATGCTTCTCTGGGTCTCCTTGCAAGGGACAGACTTGATGGAACATACCACCTTTGAGTGGTTTTATCGAGCTACGGTAGCCGTTATCCTCTATTTCTGCTGGTTCAATGTGGCCGAGGGGAAAACCCGTCACCGCTCAGCTATTTACCACATTTTCCTAATTCTGGATAGCGTCATCCTGAGTGTCTCTTGGTGGTGGTACAGAATTCCCTCGAGCTGGGATTCCCAAGTGTGCACTGCACTCCTAGCTGCCCTGGTCTGTTATGCCCTTGGCATTTTCTTGAAATGCGTCTACTACAAGTGTTTTCATCCCGCTATGAAAACTGCACTCATTACGGATTACGATGAAGTAGACAGCAATGAGCCTGGGAATGGAGATGCGGTTGTGTTCCGGCAAATAGTTATAGAAACCCCCGTCATCAACCATCGGACGTATAGACTCTCTCAGAACTTCTTTGCTGGCTCTTTGGCCGAGGAGACTCGGTACCAACAGAATGGGACTGTCGGTGATATGTATCTATGAGCCATGTTGTTTAGGGCAACCAAGACAAAACTATAGTAGAATATAGATTCAGAAAACATTTGTACCAGTTTGCCTGCTGAATCCATGTCTATGTTTCTTCCAGGATTAGCCATATAAACTAAACCAAATAAGCTCAGAAGGAAATGTTATTAGTTAAGGATGAGATTGTACAGCTGTCCTCTTGAAGAGAATCTTTCGCAGGGGGTGAAAGATATGAAGCAACACCAGCAGATATGGCCAAATAGGGCCTAAGTTGAAGAATGCTGGGAAATGTAGCTAGCAAATTCAGATGTTCATAGGTACATCGTTGTTTTTGATGTCTCTAATTCTGGATTCTATGACTTGCACCTTATTGTAGATTGCAATACTTCTCACTTCTGGTGCACTTTTCAAACTTTATACCTTTAAATTCAGGCCTTTAGTTCACTGTACTTGACTGCCCACCTGCCTGCATTCTGATGTTACATGAGAAAAAATTAGTTGAAATGGCCTTTGGTCACATCACATGCTTCCACTTTTCTTTGATGTGACCATCAGAAAGGTCCCAAACTGTCGCTTGTACTTTTAACTAGTTCTTGCCATAGTATCTGAACTATGACATCAAGGTTTCTATGGATGTATAGTTTATCTGGAAAAACACATAATCCTTAAACCATAAACTATAAACCAGAGGTCTTCAAACTTGGCAGCATTAAGACTTGTGGACTTCAATTCCCAGAATTCTCCAGCCAGCATAGCATAGCATAGCTGGCTGGAGAATTCTGGGAGTTGAAATCCACAAGTCTTAATACTGCTAAGTTTGAAGATCTCTGCTATAAACTGACTTTGAAAATGCACTATAGTTTAGAATTTGGTGTAGTGCTATAGTTCATGATGCTGAGACTTTTCCGATCTCATTGAGATGAAGTTCGTAAACCTGGTAGTTTACTGTAATTATCTATGGTTTGATATGGGGACTGATGGAAATAGAATTCCAAAATACCTGGAAGACTAATTAGACTTTGCTTTAATGCAACATCTGGATTAGCTAGAGTAGCTTTAGCCCTTCCCCTCTATTTTGGCCACCTGTGCCCAAATAGTTTATATTTCAAGAGTTTTGAGAGGAGTTTATATTTCAAGAGTTTTGAGAGGACAGTCCTTATTCCAATTTCCAAGTTATCTTGAAGGGAAGCTTAGAAAACATGCCTAACACCTCTTTCTGGACTTGGCTCTATACCTATGCCTTATATGGCTAATTTTACAAAGTCAGTGTTACTTTAGGTTTTCACAATGATTCAGATTGACTGGAATCAGCAAAAATATGTATGGCAGAGATGTGCATATTCAACTTATTTAAGCCTCCAATACAGAAGATTGCAAGTTGGAGTGGAGGGAATAACAAAGCTCTAGGAAAGGATTTAGTATACATTGGCATTTTAAAAAATTCAAATCCTCTCCTGCTTTTCAATTCAGAAAGTGGATACACTAGTCTTAACCTCTCTCCCTCCTTTCACTAAACTGTCGCCCAGTTTATTATTATTTTTTATATATAGTCATGCCAAATTCAGTGCAACAGTTAATTTATTGCCACTTCTGAAATATTTAGACTGAATAAAGTATTTCAGTTCCTGTTCATCTGTGCTATAGTTTTGGGTCTTTTTTTACATATAGTAATGCCAAATTTAGTGGGAATTCAGTGCAACTGTTAATTTATTGCCATTTATGAAATATTTAGTATTTCAGTTCCTGTTCATCTGTGCTATAGAACTGGTAAATTTTGCTCCAATGTTAACAGGCCAAATTGTTTCACAAGTAGCTCTCCAAAGGGGTCAACTAATGGGTTTACTAGGATGTCCCCAACCATAAGGTGCCTGAGATAACTGCCTTAACTCTGCTCAGTGTGTCTTCTCAGTACCGAGATGTCAGTTAAAATGCAAAGCCAAAGCAAATGGCTACAGGTAACTGAGGTTCCTGATAGAATTTAATCTTGTGCAAAATCCAGTCATTTCTTTGCGGGCTAATGCATGAGGCCACCAAAAAGTCTGAAAAGCAAGATATATTTTTACCTGTTCCTGTACTTCAATCGTATGAGATTTCATAATTTAAGTAGATATATTCTGAGTGAAGCTTAGTCTAGAAGCATGGGGGATCAATATTGAATTCCCAGATCCTGCATAATTGGTGGTACCTTGGCGGGAAGTACTGTGAGACACATTTGAAAGGCCGTAGGTCACTCATTGCTGCTGTTACCAAAGCCTTAAGATCATTTTTTAAACAAATGTGATCAAATTGGACATGTTTGTTGGGAACAAGGAAGCATTATCTAGAGCCTTGTTTCAGAATCCGAATCCAATTCTTGTGTGGTATTCAGCTAAAAAGAAAATCACACCCATCTAGCTTTTGATACCTATACTTATGGCAAACAACATATTTGGAGGCAAAGAAGTAAAAGAAAATAAAAGCAGGCAGAATACCTTTTCACAGGGTACGCTTGATTTCACTAAATTCACACATGGCAACTATCTCTTAGTAATCTCGGCCTGATGAGGTAACTTTTGCTGGGGAAAATAAGGACAGAGCCAAGTATCAAAGCCCAAGATCCCACTGACACCACTTAAGAAAAGTAAGAGATTTAGATTTATCTTCTGTCTTACAGAGAACACCTTGAATAAGCCCTGTGGGTCAGGTAGGGCAAAAGACACATGGAGCTCATAGAGCTTGATGATTTTCAGGAGATCAACAAGAATTTCTGATCTTCACTTATTTGAGAGAAATCACAAACCTCCAGCTATCCAAACTTGAGAGCAATTCTGAGAAGAATTTCCAAGAAAAGGGGAAAATAAAGAAAAGAACAATTGAGGGGTTGTATAGAAAATAAAAGACTTTATTTTTTTTCCAGTTCACAGGACAGTTGCCATTACATAGAACATGATGTTTAAGGAATCTATATAGCCATTTAATGCCCTCCAATCACTACCGTATTATAAGCACAGCTGACACCAGGACGTTGACGGGATCCTGAGGGAGAATCCGCAACTGTCATTTACTTTTGCTTACGGCATGCAATTGCAGTTGCAGCCTATTTCTCACACTTGGTGGGAGATGACAGTCTCCCACCTACTTCAGGTGATGTTCATCCATCTTTGCATTAGAGGAAGAAAAAAAAACCCAGGCATGCTTGAAAGCTAAACAGTGGGAAGGAAGTGGTAACACACTGGTTTCCAAATTCTATGAAGTCCCAAGAGAAAAGCAGCCAGCAAAATCAGTGGTGCAAGAGCTGAATCGACTTTTGTAAAAGTTAATACAGAAAATGTACCATCGCCCTGAGTGGCTTAGGGAAACAAATCGGCCCATGTATATTGGAGAAGGAGGCGTTACAAAGATCAGAACCTGATGCCAAAAGCTTCCCACATGGCCAAAGGTGTTTCCAAAACCTGACAAGGGGCTGGCAAGGGGCTTCTTTCTAGAAAAAAAAAAACGCACCTCTGAGCCAGTTTCCTGGGGGCTCAACATTCACTGACTGAGATTGCTTAAAAAAATAGAATCAAAAGATTAACTTTCAACACGGAAGAGGCTCTTCCACACAACGGTTGACGTTTCCAGGACTCTGGGAAGAAGTTAAGGCACAAGAGTTATTTCCAAAGTCAAGCAAGGGCCCCTCAAGGCAAATGACTTCCACACTTTTGCTGAGAAATAAAAATCTGCAGGAAAGCGATTAAACAGACAGAGGCCCCCTCTATTCTGTATCTGGAGAGGGGAGGGGGGAAGATCTGGGAGGGAGAATATATTTTCATCCAATAATACACTGCTAGGCCTGTCTTTTAAAGTATTTGTAAAAAACACCGGGCAGCAAGAAGGCTGGGTGTCTCCTTGAGCAAGGAAACGAGAACCATTTTTTCTAATAACCGAATGTTGCAGTATCTGCGCCATCAATGTCTACTATGCACTTACACCAAAAGGAAATACCCCACTGCCTCCCTAACAAGGAGCCACCATTCTGGTCTGCCACTTAGTAACCTAAGGGTGACTTCCATTTCTGTTTACTATTTCAACAGCTTCCAGGTTGACGACCAAAAGAAAGGGATGCAGGGGATGCAAAATTGCTATCCAGCTACAGCCGAGATTACAGTACTGAAGAAAATCAGGTACCATTGCCAAGTGGAAATAAACTGGAGAACTACAGGAGGCATCTCTTAAAACATTAGCAGGCTGCTATCTCTACCGTCAACTTCTGCAAAGGAGCTAAAGGGATCTCTTTTGCCCTGGGGTTGAAAAAATATATATTTTGCAGCACTGTAGCCCACCCTCACCCGCTCCTTGGTACCTTGTTCTACCCAAATCCTTGCCTCAGAAAATCGGAACGGAAAAGGACACTATCCTTGGTGCATGGGAAGTTGGCATCTGAAGGGGACTCCTATCGTGGACGGGCAGGGTGCCATCTCGGATCTAAGAAAAAGAGCTTTCTTGTTACCCAATTATGCAGGTGCTGAAAAGAGGGATGGCACGGGACAATTAGATTCTAGAGTCTTGTCCTCACTTTAAAAAATATACCATGCTAGTCAAGTGGGTGTATTTGCTAGAAAAAGAATCGGGGACAGCCATGGTACCTCAAGGGAATGGTTGGGTATTTTCGGTCCCTGGCTTAGTAGGAAAAACTAAAAAGCTCCCCTTCATCCAACACACCTTATTTGTTATCTCCCCCCCCCCCAAAAAAAAACACCATATAAACAGTGCTATTTCTGAGCTTTGCAAGAAGGGAGACATGCCTGGACCGCTTTCTGTAAAAACAAAAAAACAATCTATTTGCCTTCCTTTCCCATTTAACAGCTTGAAAAAAGTCTGTATGGAGCAAAAGTATTCTACCAAACTGTACTGCTTTTCTCTTCTTTAGTATAATACCACAGAGGGCTACACAGGGAGAAAGGCCTTTGCTGCTGGAGATTCTGCACCTGGAAGTTTCCCAAAGTTCCCTTTGCCAAAAAAAAAAAAAAAAAAAAAAAACCGAACCCACAGAGAACCATTCGAGCACCGGAGCTGCGTTGCCAAGGCTTTGTCGGTTCTCCCGGGAAAGCAGCGATGGGGGAGAAGAACCTCCTGCTGTACACTTCCACTGGCTGCATTTCTTTGTCTGGGTGAAAGAGAAAAGTCCCCAGACTGGTTCCTGTTTAAGCCACGAGGTGACTGTTGGGAGCAGGGCCAAGATGCTTTGTGCCCAGGTCCTCACAGAAAGTCTAATTCGAGAGCCTGGTGAAGGGACACCAGATCCGCATGATTTGTGATTCTCCAGAATGGCATGTTGTGCTGCAAAAAGAAGAGAAACCGTCCTGTGAGGAATGGGGCAATCTCTCTGCCAAGGGGGACAAGGTGGGGTGCAAAGGAAGTGGTGTAATTAAGGCTTTTTCTGCACAAAAGAGGGCACAGTGAGTGGTATGAAATTCTGCATGCTGGTTTCCCCCCCCCCATCTCTTTTTTGGGGTGGGGGTGGGGGGCAGAGGAGACTTTGTAATTTTGGGAAAGTTGCAGTACAATTTACAGCCGCTGTTGCCAGGAGTGTGATGTATTTTGGATTCCCAGGATGGAGGGAATGTATTCCAGAGTAGCAAGAGACAGTAAAGTTTAGTGTGGGAGAAAGAGTTAAGGCGACTCTTCCCTACCAGATCTCAGTATTAAATGGTGCAAATTAGTCTGCTTTAGTTTGGCAAGATAGGTGGGAAATAATAAAGGAATTATTAGGGAACTGATGATGTTACCTAGTTTGAAAATGAAACCCCTGCAAGAAAACCACCAAACTCAGAGAGCATCAAGGATCCCACAGTTCAACTCTGAGCTACAAAAGATGGATAGTGATTAATATTTACATATATTTATATGTTAGGGTGTAGGTATATACATACGTATATATGTATATAGCATATCTCTATTTGTGTTATGTATGTGTACACTTTTGAGAGCAGGCAACAATTTCATTTTTAATGTGTACCCACAGAAAAAAATGACAATAAAGGTTATGTTAATGAAGGAGATTGCTTAGAAGAACACACAAAACATTCAGATCCCAGACTACCTATTATTCCATTATTATTTATTGCCATTGTTATCATCATCATTATATCCCTATACAGTAGAACCTCTGGTCACAAACGCTTCTGCCCATGACCAAATCGGGTTCCAACCAAAAAATTCACTCTTTTTTTTCCCCGTGGCCAATTTCCCCTTCTGTGCCATTTTTTTTGTAAGCGTCAAATTTCCAAAATTAGGTTCGGGTCACGACCAAATCGGTTTGCGACCAAAGTTATGGAATGAATTATGGTCATGACCAAAGGTTCTACTGTATCTGTTCTACCCAGCTCTCCAAACACGACAACCCTCTGATATGAACTCAAAAGATTCCTTTATTAGGAATGCCGGCAGCCCCGGCAAAAAGACCTGAGGGCTGTTGACTCTCCCATCTCAGGGCTGACGGATGGCCCAGGCTCTGCCTCTGTCTCTTTCTGCCAGCTCCATTCCCTCTTCCCCCTTGGAGCTCCCAGGTTGCCCTGATGCTGACCCTGACTCCTACCTCCTCCTCCTCCTCCTCTGATTTGCTGCTGGAGGGGCCAACAGCCAACGGGTTACAACACCACCGTCCTTCTGGAAACTCAAGATTCTCTGCTCAGCCCAATGTTAGCTGCTTGGTCCGTGGGGACTTGAATTTGGGTTTCCCCAACCAAGTGCAACATTTTAGCCACCACACTCAGCCGCCTATATGCAGCAAGAATACATGCCCGTAATCTGAATGGTGCTGATTAATATGGGCAAATGTAATACTGTACTTTCCGAGAGTAGGAGTCAGCCAACAAAGCAAAGTTTAACAGCCCATCAGTCATGAAGGTATTTTCAGATCTATGGATGAGGGGTGGCCAAGACACTAAATAGCTCTGATGTCAGGCCTGGAAGCCATCTTTTTCGTTGGATCTTCAGGCCCGCCACATTTACTACTGTGGGAAACTGGGAGAGGGGATTGTATGGAGTCAGGGTGATATATAGTTATAACAACATTCCTTTCTCAGAGTCAAGGACATCTTGTCCTGCACCTGGAAGGCTGGGACTGGGAGGCATCTCCAGTTGGGACAGTGTTTTGATGGGATCATGTGATGGACATGTGGGTGTTGGGCAGGGACTTGAACTTTCCTTTGGGTGGGGAAAACCTGGAAACTTTCAGATTCGGGTTTTCCCAGATGTGTCAATATGACATCTCTAATAAAATGGAACTTTGAGGAAACTCAAGCCTTGGACTTTTCTTTCGTTGGGGGTGTTACTTGGAATGCTGACATTTGAAGCAGAAGCTGCAGTCAAAGAGCTGGCAGAAACAGACGACAGACATCCTGGGTGCTAAGAGGAGAAAAAGAATAAAGCCCACAGTCACCTGCTTGGCTGCCAATTCTTCATCACGGCCATCTCCAATCACCACATAGGTCACCTTCTTGCCAAATCGAGAGATAATTCGTTCAAAACAGCTCTCTTTACCTGCCAGGAAGGGACACACATCTTTGTGATTAAAACAAAGAAATACTTGACTGTGATGATTTCACACATTAAAGTCTTTTTCTTTCTTTCTTTCTTTCTTTCTTTCTTTCTTTCTTTCTTTCTTTCTTTCTTTCTTTCTTTCTTTCTTTTCTTTCTCTCTCTCTCTCTCTCTCCCCTTCCTTCCATCCCTCCCTCCCTCCTCTTTCCATATTCAATTTGCACCCACTGGGAATTCCTAACATCACCCAGAGGAATTTGATGTAATTCACTTACCTATTTTTGTAGCACTATAAATATTCTCAATGGGGAACACTTCCCCAAGTCCATAAAGCAGGACTTTGGCCAGAGCTGGCACTAGCTGAGTGGTTGTTATCAGGACATTCACACAATTTTTTCTAGAGGAAAACAAGAGGGAGGAAAAGAAGATATATGTGGGAGGTGTATATTTGCCTTCGTTCGTAAAGGATCCGTTTACAAAATGACAAAGAAAAAAAAATCTCCAAACTGACATCTAGACAGCAGGAAAAGAATAACAAAAAGGGAAGCTCAATTTAAATCTCCTATGCAGCAATGGGCACAATTAGTCATGGCCAGTGGCCGGTATTTGAGAATTCTTAATCATGAATGAAGAGCATGTACATATATTGCTTCTCCTTGCAAAGCCTAGAGGTTTGAAAAATTTAGACAATGTTATATGCCAGGGATGGCTACCCTTTTTTTCTCGTGTGCCAAAAGCATGCGCATGCAACAGCGCATGTGCGTGCTGGCACCCATAATGCAATGCATGCCCCACTGCACATGTGTGCATGACTGCCCATGCTCCCCCCACCCCCCCCATGCATGTGTGACCCCCTCACACCCATTTTTGGTCTAGCAGGTCTCCCTGCAGCCTCCTGGGCCCAAAAACGGGCAGTAGAGGGGGGCGCACTGCGCCCCCCGCTCCGCCCCCCCCGCACTTGCGAGCAACCCCCTGTACATGCATGCGCATCTCCCGTATGTGCCCCACTCCCTGCGCATCCTGAAAATTAGCTGGCTGGCCAGAGGCGCACGCTGGCCTATGCATGCCTTAGGTTCGCCATCACTGTTATATGCTAATCTGGAATTCTGGTTTGTTCTTTTAATAAGCTATGCACAAACCGTAGCTAGCTCACTAGAACAGAATCCTAAATAGCTATTCCAGAATTGTTCCAAGAAGAACAAACAAGAGTATATCACCACAAGGGTCATCCATGGTTATATCAACATTCTAAACAATTCTAGTTTATCTTGCTTAGGTGTGACCTTTAAATTTGGGTGCCCAGTTAGAAGGTTCTCCACTGAGACACGACCAACTCTTTAGAATTCAGGTTGGATGCTTCTAACACTATGCTGTTTATGAGACATTTCATCACACACCAATGTGGTCTCAGGCACTGTGCCACAACTATTCTGCTACAGGGGAGTCTCATTTTTGTACCTGGACTGAATGAGCAGGAGGGATTTTAACGCTGTTCCCAACCAAGAATCTGTTAACACTTCTATATCTTCCCTTAATCGCTGTAGTGCTTCTTTTTTCTCAGGACTGAGAAGAGCTAGAGGGGGGAAAAAAAATAAATGAAGTTGATCAGGAAATAGAAATGTTATTAGTCTCAGGGACCAACTTTGTGATTTCTGCATTCAAAAATTGGTTTTTTTTTTCAATTCGGAGATGTCTTTATGAAAAGTACAATTTTAACATACTCAATTAGACCATCAAGTTTTTAAACATTTTCTTTTCCAAACTGTCTTTCTGCGATAAGTCAAAACCATGTTCAAATTCATAAACAGATGCATATAAAACATCTCCTATTACTCCAGTTGGCCTTACCCTTCTCTAAAAAATTTCTTTGTGAAATGACTTTCACAAATTCATGACATACGCATAGGGCTAGTGGTGGAAGTGGGGATATATTTTTTACCACGGAGAGAAAATAACATTTATTTAAAAAAAGAGGATAGTTTTGATGTGGTGAAAATGCACTGGGTGAAAGTAAACCCTCTGAAGGCACTTCACAAAAAATGGAATTCTGCATTTCCTGGAGAGATCTGTGATGTGTGAACTTCAATTCCCAAAATTCTATAGCCAGCAAGGCCAACGGGGAGTCTTTTGGGAACGTACTCAATCAAAGAGCTGAAGAGAACTGTGCTGGGAAAGTTATTTTATTTTATTTATTTATATTTCATGTTTCTAGACCACCTCCATCACCAAGGGAGGTGATATATCCCTTGGTTGTGTTCCAGATGACTGTGCATGTCAAGTGTGAACATTTCTATGCAGTTACACCAATGCTAATAACATTTCAAGTGGTTACTGAAGTCCTGCCAAAATTGCATGGATGGCCTTATTTGAATAATATAGTTGAGCTGACATCTACATAGGTGGTCTGACTGGGATAAACGGTAGTTGGGATTATATACTGACATAATTTGCATCAATAATAATAATTGGCATCAAATCAATAATAGAGTGTCTATTGGCTGGCTGGCTGATTCTGGTTCTTTCCAAAAGATAAGAATTTTTAATAGAAGAGACTTGCCTGCTGCAGGAAGAGTGTAAAAAACCTGCTGATACTCACCAACAACGTTGTTTTTGTATTTATCATAGACCTCGCGTACTTTCCGGTAGCGAAATGCCAGCTTCCTCATCCAGTCCACTCCTCCTTGGACTCCTGTGGAAGCATGATTGGCGTTACTTCCTGAGCCGCTGAAGCCATCGGTGGAAAAATTGTAGTTGCTGGAATAGAAAAGGAAAGCTTTGGGTTACATGTATCTCACAAACTGGATTTCAGTAGTTATTGTTCAAAGATTCTAGATCGGGGGTGTCAAACTCGATTTCATTGAGGGACGCATCAGGGTTGTGTTTGACCTCTGGGGGCTGGGGTGGGCATGGCCAGCCCGCTGTTACTCGTGTTGGGGGCACCTGTAGTGGCCCAAGCACTCTGCCAGCAAAAACAGACACCTGAGCTGTTTTTTGGCTGCCATGGCCTCCTGCAACCCTCTGCCAGCAAAAACGGAGCTCCATTTTCCCTGGCAAAAGCACCATGGGCTGGTCCTTCGCTGTTCTCAGGCTGACCCCGCAGGACAGATCTAAGTAACCCGCAGGACAGATCTGGCCCCCGGCCCTTGAATTTGATACCCCTGTTCTAGATCACTTGCCCTATTTTCAGAGGATGTCCTTAGCTTGAACACAACACTTCCTATTTTTAGCATCCTGCTGAATTGTTTGTTTCTAAGCATTGCCTTGGTTCTGCCGGTCAAGTGTTTTGAGGCTCTAAAACACACTTATTTGCAAGGAGGAATTAGATGTTGCTGAATGACACATGGTTACTCTGCTATCTTTCCTTCCCTTTTTAATAAGAAAATCCAAAGGTCATCCTAAAGAACAGTATCTCAACTGGTAAATATTCAGCATTGATATATTTTGTCTTTGTCATTATATATGAGTATCAGTATTGTCCATATTAATCCCTGGGATCCAAACCTTAAATCCTGGCCATTGTCATCTGATGCAACATCTTCTACATGTACTTGGTCACATTCCTGTAATGAAAGAATAGAAAGAAATCTAGGATGCCCAGTCATGATCTCTGCTAACTGGCAATAGCATTCCATGTACTTTTCCCCCGATCAGATGCCTGCTTATTGGATTAGAATTCCTAACCAGCTAGCTTTGTCCCTGTGGGATTAATATAAATCTTTCAGGTGATGGAAGACTTCCGTTTGATCTCTATGCTCATTTAAAGATAACATGATCAATGATAAAACAATAAGCCACAGCACTCCTCAGAATTATACTTTAAAGCAATTTAGAGGACTGAAGCAAGACAAATCAGATCTGAGTTTAATACTTTTTTCATCTCTAATAACAAAGAGGAGGATATTAGTCTACTAATTACAATGAAAAAAGGGAACTAAGATTGGAATAACACAAATCTCCTACTTAATATTGACTAATTTGGAAGTTCAAGACTCCTATTGCAGTCCTGACTAACAGAGATAAACAGCTTCGGGATATGTTTTGTTAATAGATTTCATTATGACATTCCAAGATATGTAAGGTCAGAATTTGCCTACCTCCAAGTCATTGAAAAACAAATGTGTGTCAGCCACTTCAAAAATCATTTCTTCCATTGTTAATCCAAAACCAACAACTAAACTGGGATCCTAAAAGTTAGAACACAGAGTTTTTCTGAGGGGATAACAAGACATCAGAAATTCTAATGCAAAAGACACATTTATAGAAACTTGCAACAAGTACAAATGTTATCCAGGTGAATTAGTTGTTTTATTTTTATTAATCTACAGGTAGTTCTCCACTTACGACTGCAATTGAGCCCAAAATTTCCACTGCTAAGCAAGACAGTTCAGTGAATTTTGCTCCATTTTATGGCTTTTCTTGTTGTTAAGTGAATCACTGCAGTTGTTCAGTTAGTAACACAGTTGAGTGATTCTGGCTTCTCTGTTGACTTTGCTTGTCAGAAGGTTGCAAAAAGTGATCACATGTCCCCAGGATGCTGTAATTGTCAAAACTATGAGCTAATTTGCCAATTGCCTCCGAATTTTGATCATGTGACTGCGGGCATGCCACAATGGTCATAAGTCTGAAAAACGATCATAAATCAAAGACTATCTATATATAAAAATACTTTTAGGCAGCTCTGAGGGACAGAACCAGTAATATCCAAGGGGATGGGGTAATCAAAGCCCACCATTTTTTCAATTTATGGTGACACAAAAAAGGGTGGGGCTTTGATTGCCTCCCCCCTTCCCTTGACTCCCCCCCCCCTTTCCTTCCCCTGCAGACGCTCTTGGATGGAACCTTTCAGGTTTGTATATATCATAAAAATTCTACTGCTATTTGCTGGCATTGTAAGATAGGTTGCTGTATATGGCAAAGTCAGAAATATACTCATAGAAGGGAACTTCCAAATCAGAGGTGGGCGGCACATGAATTAACAACCAATTCGCCCAGCACCAACAATGTGCGTGTGCGCCTTCCGTGCATGTGCTTTGCTTGTACATGCGGCTTGCATGCATGTGCATGGCTTAAAAATGGGGCTAAATACGATGGAATAGCACGGGGGCACTGGTCCAAATCAGCTGAATCCCACCCCTACTCCAAATTCTATACATTCTGTCATGCACGGCCACAAGGTACTCTTGAAGGAGGCAGTGGTATCACCCAGGGGTGAAAACTATCTACCTTCTTTACCGGTTCGGAAGCACATGCACTGTGTGCACCATGTGCGCACGCAAAGTTAAAAAACATTATTTCCTAGTTAAAACCAGGAAATAATGACACCCAGGCGGTGATCACTACCGGATCGCTGAACCACAGGGAAAAATCGTTACTGGATCGGGCGATCTGGTCCGGTCCGGGAGCATCTCACCCATGGTATCACCCCTCCCAAAGGAGCCCTTCCTTGATGCAGAGGGGCTCACCAATTTTCATCCGGTTGCTAACTTTTTCTTTCGGGAGAATATAGTATTGATCATTCCTCTGGATCCGTGTTTCCCAACCTTTACAAATTTATGATGTCTGGACTTCAAATTCCAGACTTATCCTTTCTATGGCTTAATTTAGAGAATAGAATCTATACATTCTACAGTAAATATAACAGCAGCAAAAATCAATACCTTCCCATATTTTTGGGCATATGAGCCTGTCAGAAGAGAATGAAATATTATGATGGTTTCATCCAAGTCCCACAGAAATACTCGCTGAGGAAAGAAGCAGAAAGGTAATAAGTTAATTTTGGTGGTGGTTGGTTGTTCCCCACCCAAGTGCCTCAAAAGCATCCCATCCCATCCTTGCTATTGTTAAAAAAAAAAAAAAACTCAGTGACTTAAGACAGTTCAAAATTACAACAGTCTTAACTTTTGAAAGGGGAAGGCATTTGTTTCTGGTAAACATCCCCACCAAACTACATTTTACTCTGTTAGAGGACACTGAGTCATTTGAGGGACTAGATTATGAACTTCAGAAATGCAGATGAACCTCCAAAGAGATTGAGACAAATTTGTATTACATCAGCTCTAATCTCTATACTGCAATGTGACATCTGTAGATTGATGGTCCCTATTTTGGGGGAAACATTGGCATTTCTTATTCAACAGATGTTGCCCTCATCCTTATCGAGAACTTTCAAATCCTTTTAGCATCACAATACTTCATTTGACGTTTATGCTCCTCAAGGAATAATCTCGTGTTTCTATTTTAAATCCCACTTAGCTTAGCTATTTCTCATGTTTTATAGTGATAAAGAGAAAGTTAAACAGACCAATTTTCCCATTAGACAGTTCGCAGACTACAATTGCCTAACTTTACTATCTTTCCATTAATTTAAATTTCCGAGACTTAAAAAAGAGAGAGAGGGAGAAAGAAATAGAGGGAGAAAAATAGCAAACACAAACTTCAAGCTCATTGTCCTGCGGTGAACAAGCGTCTGCTTTCCTCTTGCCTCTGTTTTTTGGAGTCATGTTTCTCCTAGACTGCTCATCTACATGTTTACTTGCAGTCGCTCTTGGCAATGATGGACTGGTAGATGGATCACCTAGAAAAAGGGAACAGCAATTTTTATGTATCTTGTGCCTTCAATACCGTATTCCAGTGCAGTTTATATAATTCAAATGAACAACCTTTAAATCAGGGGTGAAATCCAGCAGGTTCTGACAGGTTCTGGAGAACCGGTAGCGGAAATTTTGAGTAGTTTGGAGAACTGGCAAATATCACCTCTGGCTGGCCCCAGAGTGGAGTGGGGATGGATTTTGCAGTATCCTTCCCCTGCCACACCTACCAAGCCATGCCACACCCATCAAGCCACGCCCACAGAACCAGTAGTAAAAAAAGTTAGTTTTCGTGCGCGGCCCCGCTGCGAACCGGTAGTAAAGGTAAGTAGAACCCACCCCTGGCTTCGGTACTTGCTTGAGGAGGGTTTCCCCGTGTGTGCGCATGTTCCTGGCTCAGCCACAGCCAGGGCGTCACGAGAGTAGGAGGAGGCGATGGCTAGATCATTAGTGCAGGAGAGAAGCTGCATCCTGTTAAGACCCTCCTAAGCGAGCGGCCGCCCACCCCACACGTGCCTTTGCTGTGCTTTGGCGCTCATTTGAGGAGGGTCTCCCCGCACGTGCACACACTCCCTGCTCAGGGGGGGAGGAAAGTGCAGGAGCGAAGCTGCCCTGTACCTGCCTTCATGCCACATTTCGTGTAAGGCAGTCTTCGCTTCCTGCCGCTTCAGGCTAGAGTCCCCCCAAAAAATAAGAGGGGCGGAGGGCGGGGCCAACCAGTGATGGGACAGGGAGCCGCAGCAGAGGGCCCAAAGAGCCGCATGCGGCTCCGGAGCCGCGGGTTGCCGACCCCTGCTCTAGCTCCAGGATATTGGCTGGGGGGAATTCTGGAAGTTGAAGTCCACAAATCTTAAAAGTTGCTGAGGTTAAGAAATACAGATCTAAAAAGCATTTACAAACCCATTTCCCAACCCTGAGTTTACCAGAGGAATGTCTCTGCACCGTCTGGGTAGGCACCATGGCATTTGATTTTTCAGAAGGATAGGTGGCAGATGTCAACGTGTTGGTCTCTGTGCTGCTGTCTGCTGGTGCTATCACACCAAAACTTGAACTGGGATAATACGGCTGGTACTGACTTTGGCCAAGGATTGTGTATGTAGGATACTCCTTTAAGAAAAAAATTAAGAACTGAAAGAGGGCAAAGAATGGCGGAAAACATGCAGTTGCCAAGTGCTAAAAGAATCTTAACGCCAGTCTGTATTAGGTAGTCTTCTCTGTCTTGGTGCATCCCAACGATGGCAATTACAACTCTCAACAGCCTATATAGGATGATGCCAGGTTAGCTAAAGTGAGGGAGGAGGGAAGCACATTCAGACTTGCAGGATTCTATTACTCTAGCTATTCTAATAAAAGGGGTTTTAGACCTATGTGGCATTAGTTTCTTAGTGTGGTTTACCCTATAGGGCAGACATAACAAATACTGTATGTGATATAGTAACTGCCTTCTTCTAGGAATTTTTAAACTTTATCACCTAGACCACAGCTACAGACCTGGGATTTCTTGATGACAGCCCATGCAAATGCTTACCAGAGCCAACCATGCTTAGCTTTTTTAGAATTCAGACAAGGCTGGCTAGGTGAGCCACATAAGGACTGTATAAAACTCCACACTGCTTTTAAACAAGTCATCTGGAGCTAGTATAATTCTAAAGTGAATTATGTTACATATTTAAACTTTACCTTTGCAGAGGTCACTGACCTAACAAACTTTATTTTGTTCTGTAAATATTACTTTTACCTTCCTATTGCTCCTTTGGTATATTGGACAACAACTCTTATGCCCTTCAAGGTTGTGGAAACTAGCTGATTTTAAATACAATTGACAGCTAAGCAAAAAAAAAATCAGAATTGGAACACTAAAGGCTGAATCAAGCAGGCCTAGGACAACTCGCCACAGTCAAATTGCCACGGTCAACTCGTCGCGGCCAAATTGCCATGGGAGAAGACTTATACTAGTATCAAAGAAATGGTGGAATAGAATCATTACAGAAAGGATGCAAACGGAGGAACAGAATGAAATGTGAATGACAAAATTAATACATACATACATACATACATACATGTATATATATATATTTACTTTGTTAAATAATTAAATCAAATTGTTGAATTGCCCCATGGTGAGTTAGCCATGGTGAGTTGTCCTATGGCAAGTTGGCCATGGCAAGTTGGCTGCGACAAGTTGTTCCATTCCGAAATCAAGCTAATGTTTCTCAATTCTTTTTTTCTGAAAAGCTGAACTGGTCAGCATTGTGACAAATAACACAGGAAAAGACAGAGAGATGTCATGTCTTGTCTTGGGTTGGAGACTTACACATTTCATAAAATCAAATTATTGTCTCCTATCATCCAGTTGCTAAATATACTGGAGCATGGGATGAAATACATTACAACGAACAGGGTAATTTATACTGGAGGATTATGTACCTGTTGAGAGATGCTGGCGGTAGCTGCTGAAATATTGACAGCAGGTGAGGAAGTGGAAATTGAGTTGGCATTGGTACTTGAAGCTGTAGGAAATTCAGAAGAAGACTGTGTATTAATCCATGTCATTAAAATACAGAGGATTATTAAAACTACCTAATTTTTTGTGGGGGATGGAACATTTCCAGGATCTTTGGTTCAAACTGTTTCCCTTCATCAAAGGAATTCACAGAAAAATTGGACAAGATGTTGACATCACCCCTATGACATCACCATGCAGCTGTTCTTTCTTTTCAAAATAATTAAATGCCATTAGCGTTTACTTAAAAAAATGTAATTTGCTCTTCTCACAAATGCATACCAAAAAACCACAGCATAAGCCACTAGTTGTATTAAATTCTGACATTTATGTGCATAAATTTATACACGTTAATCTAAGAATCAGTGATGTATAAGTCAATGAAAACTATCTCTGAACAGACATCAATGGGAAACCTTTTCTAATTTTTGCTAAATGTTGGGCGACTTATTTTCTAAAGCACGGTGAAGCTTTAAGTCCAAAATATGTAGAGGGCATCAGTTTAGGAAATTATAAAGTGTAGGATTGCACTGGTACTTGAAGCTGCAATCAGTCGCATTATTAATTTGTCCCATTGGTTTCAGTGGGACCCAATGTGGCTGGTTTTGCTTGGATCAACATCATTACCATTCTGCCTGCTTCTAAAAGGGCTGGAACTTAAAAGAGGGCCACTGAAAACAGGCGGATGATGTCACTTTTTGAGTAGGTCTTTTCAGAACTACAATCCCTCAAAATAAATCAACAGGGCACCCAAATCAGAAATGGCCTTAGGAAAACTAAGTGTGCTTAATAATCATAAGTATCAGCTGGAAAAGAAAAATGGAACCTGGAAGACAGCTGAGAGACTAGTATGAAGGGAACCCTTTAAATAGAATAACTTTCCTTGTTAGGGTACAAAGATGCTCAATGGTACATGTTGTTCCAGGTTGCACATCATGCTGATTATTAACGATTGCAACACACAACAGATTTGTTATATTTGTTCCATTCCAGATCCAAACCAGAGTTTGTCAAGCTTAAATCCATTGAAAGCAAAAGCACTTAAAAGATGGTCCACTCTAGATCAGATACAATAAATGAATAAAAGAACCATCTCTTTGTGGAGAAGTTCAGTGCTGAAGTGATTGTAAGCTGGATGCTAATGGAAACTGCCTCTTTATCCCAAACAGCCACCCACAACTCCCAAGAGGACTTTGAAGTAAACAATTTAATCCTTAAAGTGGATGACCTACTTCAATGCAATATAGAATTACTTTCTTTCATCAAAGTTATAGCCCACTGATATCTTGAAACTTACAGTCCTTAATCAACTAATGAAAAACAAACATGCACGCACACACATTGTTGTTCCTGTCCTTCTGCAAACTGACACAATCCACTTAGGGATGCTCCTTTCAGGTAAGATGTACTACAGCAATCTAACTGCATTTCCTTCCTACTTCTGCAGGTTATCAAATATTCAGAGTTGCTTGGGTGGTGGTGTTGTTTTTTAAATGCCACAATGTCATAAAATCTGTCTGGAAAACACTCCAGTTATTCCTTGTTTGCAATTAGTCGAAGAGATTTGCTCAGTAATAGCTAAAGTCACTTACTGCTATGTGGTATTTTTAAATACAATGTACCATCACGTATTTCTGAATCATATTCAGCCCATTCAACGAGCTGAGGGTTTCTTTCTTATCTAATGACAACTGCTTATTAGAAATCAAAAGCACATTCTATTCCTTGCAACTTAATGGCAGGTTGAGTGAAGGATTTGAATAGTTCTGTCGCAACTTTGAAATTCTGATGGATTTTATTGTTGATTTAAAAAGGGACTTGCAGATGCTTATTGTTGAGCAAAATCAATAGTTACTGCAGGTTGATAAAGCTAACCTTTATATGCATTCCTTGCAACCTAAGCACAGGGCAAAACCACTGCATGCTGAATAAGGAGGTTATTATCACCACTGTATTTTAGCATTTGTATACATGCACGTGTCCCATACCCCCGGATGGTTTCTCCCCATTTCTCTAAGGGTTTTGAAAGCAGAGCATGGTAAAATTCACCTGGTAGAGAGCAGAGAAAGCAGGCAAACGGTGAGCAAGAGAGGTGGCAGAAGCAGAGCTCGCCAAGCAAAGAGAAGCATGCACAAAACAGAGACAAAACCGTGCTGGCCTCTTTGTGGCTTCTTGACCAGGTTTACAGGAAGAGGTACGTAAATAAAAAACCATGCCGACCTTTACCTTGAATAGGGTAAGAATAATGTGCTGGGCTGGATTGGCTTGTGGTTAACCCTGTAGTGCAGGTAAGAACACTGTGCTGACTTGGAGATGGAGTCTGAATTAAACCACTCTCAGGTTTCATACCTGGCCACAGTGCACCTGAATCAGATAAATTGCACCCATTATAAACAAAGCTGGCTGTGGTCAGCCAGGCCACCAAATTCTTCTCACCGATGTGAACAAGTGACACAATTGCCGCTGACAGATAGAGGAGCTGTTAAATGTGCAAGTCTGAGGTCTAAACCTGGAGAAGCGGGGGGAAGGGAGTGAAGCAGCAGGGTCAAGGAAAAAGAAAAAAGAAAGCTAGACAATAAATCAGGAGAGATGCGATAAGGTTAATTCCCAAGCTTTCCTAAGAAAAGAGAATTGTGCAGGCGCTGCTGACCAGACTCTTCCTAAGCTCAATGCCTCTGGATTACTAGTGTTTTCTCTACAGCAAGCCATCGTGACTCAGTTGGGCAGTTTTACAAGAGAGCTGCCTCCTTCCATAATTGCTCTGGAGCAAAGAACAGGTGGGAGAGATTCTAAATTCACTCAGCTGATAATTACTGCTGCATGATATATCCTAGATAAGTACAGAATACTTATGCCTACAGGAGTACACCAAAGAGTACAGCCCCTAAAATAAAACAGAACAAATGACACTGAATTGGCCAATTTATGCTCTGTCACATAAAATGCAACAGGGCCCATTTCTCTTCTGCAGTCTTGCTGAGAGCCGTGATGGCACAATGGTTAGAATGCAGTATTCCAGGCTAACTCTGCCCACAACCAGGAGTTCGATTCTGACCGGCTCAAAGTTGACTCCACCTTCCATCCTTCCAAGGTTGGTAAAATGAGGACCCAGACTGTTGGGGGCAATATGCTGACTCTGTAAACCGCTTAGAAAGGACTGTAAAGCACTATGAATGAAGCAGTATATAAATCTGAATGCTATTGCTATGTAAGTTCCCTTCTATTCCTGTCATCTGTTGACAATTGTGGCTGGGTTCAGACATCTATTTATTTATTTGCTGCCATCTCAAGTGTCCCTGAGGGACTCTGGCCAACTTACACAGAAGAAGTCTGAGGTACAGGTAGTCCTCGACTTACAACGGTTCATTTAGTGACCAATCAAAGTTACAACGGCATTGAAAAAAATGACTTACGAGTGTATTTCACGTTTATGCCCGTTGCAGCATCCCCCTAGTCACATGATCAAAATTCAGATACTTGGCAACTGACTCATCTTTATGACGGGTTGCAGGTTGTCCTGGGGTCATGTGATCAACTTTTGCCACCTTTTGACAAGCCAAGTCCATGGGAAAGCGAGATTCACTTAACAACCATGTTACTAACTTAGAACCGTAGCAAGAAAGGTCATAAAATGGGACAAAACTCAATTAAGCCATGTCTCACTTAGCAGCAGAAAATTTGGGGCTCAATTGTGATTATAAGTCGAAGACTACCTGTTTCACAAATTTGCAACGTGCATGTTCTAAGCTTGTACATAATCGAAATGTACCTATTTGTAAATACAGTTATGTAAAGCACTTTAGAGAGGACACCTTACATGTAACAGCAAAACTTCTCAAGATGACTGCAAGGCCCTATACAGATCCCGGCCAACCTTACCAAAAGGAGGTAGTCCGTAGGCTTGGGTTGTCTGGGGATAAACAGCGTATGTCTGGGACTGTGGTAGGGTTTGATACTGAGTCTGCCCAGAATAAGAGGCCATCGTCTCAGGAACAGGTACAGAAAGGACATGTGCATATGGCCTACATAAAAAGAAAAAGAAAAACAACCTTGTTGATATGGGATGTTGCTACATTAACAGGAAGAACTCTCAACATGCAATGCAATAGTACCTCAATTACTATTAATCTTCTCAGCGTTCCTATCACCCATCTCCTCCCATTTATGACTGTAACTTTGTTGCTTGTATCCTTACAATTTATATTGTTTCCTAGTATGATTTGATTGTTTATTTGTACCCTATGACTATCATTAAGTGTTGTACCTTACGATTCTTGACGAATGTATCTTGTCTTTTTATGTACACTGAGAGCATATGCACCAAAGACAAATTCCTTGTGTGTCCGATCACACTTGGCCAATAAAAAATTCTACTCTATTCTATTCTATAATATTAAAACAGCAGCCATAGAAAGAACAAAGGAGGAGTGCAATCACCTTACCTCCTTTTCCTCTCAACACTTGGTCTCTTGTTAAGGAAGGAAACTGTAGCAGATTTGGGTAACATCACGGCTGCCAGAAAACCTAGAGACGACAACTAACGACATGTCGCCTCCTAGATCTATTGCTGAATGCTCTGCCTTCCTTCTGGGTTGTGCAGAGATTGGTGAAGCTTTCTATGTTCTGTGCCATCCCAAGCTCCATGCTGTCCAAATTACAGATTGATACCAGCTAAGAAATATTTATTAGAATCTTGCTTAGTCTTGGGTATATATGCAGTGGTGGGATTCAGCCAGTTTGCACCACTTCAGGAGAACTGGTTGTTAACTTTCTGAGCAGTTTGGTAGTTGGAAGAAATCATTAGGGCAGAGAATCGGTTGCTAAATTACTTGAATCCCACCACTGTATATATGTACACATAAGGCAAAGGCAGTCATGAAGGGGCACCATAATTGTTAGGTCAAATGTTCCGACCTAGTCAGAAAAGAAGGATGGAGAAGTTTCAAAGAACAGAGCCGGTTCCTTTAGGGACCTAGGCATACAAATGCCATAGAACTCAGAAAAAAAAAAGTTGCATTATGTAATTAAACATCTACATGAACTAAGCATCCAGTAAGATTCCTGCTGTGACATTTTGGAGAAAGAAGCAACTTAGTTCAACTTACTTTGCAGAATACATCTGTGAGGTATAGTCATTTGATGACCTTGAGATGTAGTCAGTGCATGGCATGACTGCAAAATACAATATTTAAAAATGACCTTAAAAATTATTTAACACAAACCATGTGGTTAATGTGTGTTTAACTGTAATTTGCATTAGGTCTGTGCAAACGTTCAAAAGAAACATTTAAGGAAGACTCAAGCAAAACAACTTTTTTAAACTTCATGCAATATTTCTAAGAGCAAAACTTCCATATTCCTTTTCTCTGCTCTGCCATGCAAAGTTTTAGTAAGTTTTGTGGCAGATGTCTGTTCAACTCCTTCAGCATAGCTCACCCAAAGTTTTGGTGATCTGTGGTGAACACATTTCTCCAGGTAACATGCCAAGAACTGAAGTGATATGTCCAAAACTTACACAAAAGCTTCTTCTGGCTTGAGCGGAAGAAGACTAGAAAGACTTTTTGCTTCAACAAAAAGTCAGTGGAAATCTCATTACCCCAGCAAATGCAGGACACTTTGCACAGATTTAATATGCATTCTGCATAGATCTGCAGAATGCATATTAAATCTGCAGATTTAATATGCATTCTGATGCACAGAATACATGGGGTATGCTTACTCATGCTTGAAATTTAGGGTAACTTTTTAAATATTTTGGATCGCAAGAAGATGACGACTTTAAAAACCTAGCTTATAAATATAGTTTTAAAAAATCATAAATCCATGGTAATTGTAAGGATTTCACCTCTTTTAGTCTGATTATTCTGTTGCATGCCTTGCTTTTTATTACATTCTTTATTTATTCTGTTTATTTTATTATGAGCTGCCCAATATTGCTCTGGAGATAGATGATACCAAATCAAACAATCAAATAAAAGGGCTATGTTATGAACACAATTCAGGTACCACAGCCCATTTCTCCTAAAACTTGGAAGATACAGAAATCACTTACTTTGATTAGATATAGACAGGTTTGAAGCAAGACTTGAAGATTCAGGCTTTTGATCATTACTGTCCGAGCTGCTCACTTGCCTGAAAAATGAAGTCAAACAATGAAGTACTTATAAACCGTTGTCACATCCATTAAATATTATTATCATCCCAAACATATGCTAATTGTCTTAAAACTGTATGCAATACCCACGTTTATAAGTATATTTTAGTCAAAATTCTTTAAAATTTTGAAATAATCATAAGAATGTTTTTCAGTTTTTCTAATTGATTCCTCCTGCTAGCAGAACTGGTTAAACAAATAAGAAAGTTCAAGTTATGGTTTATTCAGCATTACCTATAATTTAATCATGATACTAAATGAAATTTAGGCACTTCCAAAATTCAATGTGAAAAGCCTCAAATTTTTTTTCAGTCCCTCATCCTCAGTGAAATATCAACTGAAGTGACCAACTTTATAGAGCTGAGGACGATGATAAGGATTAACGGACTTGTCATGCCCAGTCCATACTAAATGAAAACCTAAGAAAATACATTCCAAATCACAATTTGTCATTTTTAAAAAATCCTACAGAAACCTAATTTCTTTTTTAATTTAAGAATTGCACACCTTAATAGTTGTTCTCCTGATTCCTGCATCTTGGCCTTTTTTATCTGCAGAGATAAGTATGATATGAGGTTATTCAATTTGACAGCAAATAAAAACTCTAACTATGAGCAACAATATGAGTCACAAAAGCTGAGTTGAGACATAACAGGAATATGGATTTATGACAACAATTTTTTAGGTCTGCACAATTCTCTCATTCATATACTCTTCCTTTTTCCTGAATGTAAAGGGACAGTTTCTATTTTTAAATTTAATTCCCAGTAATGTTCGTACTCATCAGCAAGAAAAAGCCAAAGTCTAACCAGGCTTGCTGTTACTGACCAGTTTGCACAAATCATAATTAACGAAGTCTAGTTTCATGAAAAACTCCGCTTGTGTAAAACCCTCTAAAGGGAGGGAGTAAAGAGAATACACTTGTCCAAGTTTTGTCATGGCTCACTATGATAATGGGAAACCAGAATTTCACAATGTTCAATAAAGTCAAAGCTTTCTTTGTTTTTTTCGGAATTTACGTATCTGGACAGAAAGATCAAGATTTAGGAGGTTTCATATTCTGGCCTGTGGAAGACAGGTCTACTTCTATTTTGATAGGCTGTAGCTAAGGACCATTTTCTCCCATTATTTCCAATTGATTCTTAAACAAAAGCAATGCTCCACCATATGCTAAATATGGTCTCAAAAACCGCCTGTGCTCGCATTGATATTCATATAGCCATGATGACGAGTTGTTGCAAAGTAGGATTTTGCTCTACAGTGATCAACTCAAAAGAAGAAAAATTCCCATCCAGTTTTTAACTGAAGAAGCATTTATTAATTCTGCAAAGATCTTTTTTTTGTGATTGCTAAAAAGAAAGCAAATAGCTGTGCACTTATTTGCTCCCAAAATACTTCAGGTCTACTGCTTCTCCCTGTTCCTTTCACAGTTGGATAAAGATCTCTTTGTTGTAAGGGGGATTTGAGGTGAAATACAAAAAGTCAAATGTGGTTGCTATAGGTTTCCTGTTCTCCCTGGGACTCTTTACTGGGACGGTTGCATTGCTATTAGCAATAAGTAAGTAAATATTAATTATGAAAATGGTTTTTCATTGGCATTTTAGATAAAATGACATCTTAATTCAACATGAACCTTTATTATGGCCAGTGGACAGGAATAAATAGATGCATTATTTATTTAGAAAATTTATTCTCCATTTTTCATGGTTAAATAGGATGCCAAAGAGATGATACAAAAAGCAGTCAAAACACAAAAGTATAGAATTTGCACCGCATGGCTAGGGCTTTATTGATTTCATCCAAATCTTTTTCTTTTACAGCGTCTGGCAGAGATTTAGAACTCTGAGAAATTCAAATGATTGGTATCAGTCAGGTAACTAGTTTTACATATGGAAATATTAGCAAGCCACTCTTTTTTTTCAATCATATATCTGTGTTGCATTCCTCTATTTTTTACCCCTGCAAACAAAGTAAGATGAATAAGCTATTCTTTAGCAAATTCCATAGAAAGAGAAATCCTTTTTTTCTTGCTTTTGTTGTTTCTTTTGTATACTCACTGGCTGTTCTGCTAAATCTTGTACCTCTTCCATGGAGGCAAGCTTTTTCAAAAGTGCTCCAATATGAAGAATGGGTGTCTTTCTCTCTGCCTTCAAAACCTGTAACAAACAATATCCATGTTTTCGGGGAACTGCTTATCATTTTTGCTATCAGTCCCTTTAGCCATTTAATATGTCACTTTGTAGACAAATGTTGGCTTTACCAATATATATATAAAGAAACTACACTATCATATGGAAAAAAAGCAAGGATTTTCCATTAAACCTCAAGCTACAGTGGATAATGCAAGTAAGGGTGCACCTCATTTCCATCGCATTTGTTTTGTTACTTGGATTTCAAGTCACTATTCATTTTTTTCTTTCTTTTTACTGATATTTTACTAATAAAATATCAAGGTAAAAATGAAAGCATTGGAAGGTTAAAGAAAAATAAGCCACAGATGAAATACAAATAAATGAAAATGAAAGAGTTTGGAAAACTTGTGTTTACTTCAGTTTGTGTGTTTATTTAACAGCTATTTTACAATACAAACATGACCTTAAGGAGAAATACAAACATCAATATTTTTTTCTATTTGAAAAACAGATTAACAAATAAAATATGCACCTCCAAATTTTAAAGCATACAGGGAATCTCTCCTCTTCAAATTAAAAGACCAAAATCACAACATAATAAGAATTACAAAACTGAACTCATCATGGTATAACATAACCATCAGACAAACACTGCTTTTTTCATGATGCAATGTCCTTGATAGAAGAAATGCCAGACAATACCAAGCTGGGTATTACATATCATAGAGACAAACTAATATTTTTACTTGGCCTTTTCTACATAAATTTATCTGTGCCTATTTCAACAACATTAAATGAAATTTAATGTCAAAGTATTTTATTTCTATGACATCCTTCCTCAAGAAAATTCCAGGAAGGCTCATACAATGTAAGTTGAAAATGTAACTATAAAACGCTACAATACCAATATAATAAATATGTTTAACAGCTATAAGCAAATGTGATATTTGCTTATATCCTTACTTTCAATATCTGAGAAAATTGTTATAATATAGTGTCCAAAAATATTTAAGGGGGGAAAAAATTACTGGATGCCTAAAAAAAGTAATGATTATAAGTGAACCTGCTTGGAAACACTTTCAAAATTAATGTTTTGCAATAAAAGCTTTTTTACTCCTTTCGCAAGCGTCAGCTGATGACCTACAAACATTATAATAAAAGCAAGAAGACTCATAATCAAAATACGATTTCAGCTTGTCCTGACTCACCACAGAAAAATTAAAACCAAAAAACAGCTTAATAACGTATCTGTTGAAAATCTTATTAATTTATACATTCACTTAAAATAATCCTTTCGTACCGCTAGCAGGATTGTAAAATTCCTTATCAGCAATATGCCATTGCATTAGGATCTTTACCAACAATCTACTTTTAAATTTTAATTCGTGAATGCTTTTTAAACAAGTTAATTTAAATCATGTTTTGTATAAAACTGTATTCAACACAACATTCAGTTTGGCTGATGCAATCCTATACCTCTACAGTTCTGAACCCACCCACCCCCAAAAAACACAATTCAAAACAAACCCAACCCAAACCCCAAAGATTCTTAACCATGAATCACCGAGATTAATGGGATTTATTCCCAGATAACAACCTAACTGCAGTGTTATCATTTTTTTTAATGAGAAAGTTCTCATTAAAATAAGATTAAAAACAAATGCCTGAAAATTAATGTCTATGGAGATTCTCAGTCATCCATTCTTTGGCCTGAAAATTAAGATACTGCCTGCAATGTAGTGGCAAAGTTAAGTTCAGAGCTATTCACATTTTCACTCTTGTTTGTTTGTCTTATAATTAGAAATAGTCCCATGCTAGCAGTTCAAAGATATAGAAAAAAATGTGTTAGTGCCTGCCATAAACAAGCTGGCAATATTTTCAAATTTTCAGTTGCCTAAAACAAATATGTGTTTCTTACTTATTCAAATGTTACTGAGAAATTTCATTGAATCAATAATGCCCATCATAAAATATTCTTGAAGTTAATAAAACAGCAACCCACTCATCTAAAAGCTCGAAGTCAAAACCAATAGCAAATATTTAAAAAATCTACTTTCCTGCTTCATGCCAACTTCCAGTTTTCTAAAGATATTTTTGTACAGGAAGAGTTGTAAGTATAAATAAAGTCAAATTTATTTATTTATTTTTATTTATTTATTTATTTCATTAGATTTATATACCGCCCTACTCCTGAAGGACTCAGGGCGGTGAACAGCCAAATGGTTTTATTCTTAGAAATAGTGAAGCCACTTTTATGAAACCTGAACCAAAAATATTGTACAGCAGATGGATTTCAAATCTAGTTTTGTAATTTATTATCTTTTATTTCTTTTTCTTTCCAGAGCAAGTTTAGTATATTGCATCTACTGCTCTGGTTTAAATGTTATACAAACACAAAGGAGACATATTATTTGGAATTCAGCAATCGAGATTAACAACCCAAAAAGTACCAAAAAGATGAAAACGGAGTAGATAATTTCTTTCAATTTAGAAAATTAGAATTTTCCTGAAATTTTATTTTACTAAAACTATTTTAAAACATTTTATTATCTCTTAAAAACCATATGGTGTTAATAGAATACTGATTGCAATAAATATACAAAATTGTAGTTTCATAATCTTTATCTCTGAATGAGTCCTATCTCTTCAGCACAAATATTAAAATATATTTTTCTACAAAAATAATCAGAGAAAAAATATCATTCTCAACAGGAAAATAAAATGAAACATCTTATAATAAGCCATCTAGTGTACAATGTAATCATCTATTCATCTTCACAAAAGGAAAGAACTGTAGTCCTATTTTATTATTCTGTAAAATTACAAGTGAAAAGGTACTACCATTTTCCCCCTAAAATAAGACCCTGTCTTTTTTTTTTTTTTTTTGAACCTTGAAATAAGCGCTTGGCCTTATTGCCATGTGCTCAAAAGCCCGATTGGGTTTATTATCAGGGGATGTCTTATTTTGGGGGAAACAGGGTGGAAAATTAAATGAATTGCACAAACTAGGATTAATTTCATCATGTAAATACAAAATATCTTACAACACCTATCCATGATCACCAGGACAATGCTTTTCTCAATCTAATTTTTTAGCCAAACCATGGTTGGCTTATTTGCAGTTCAGATATTTATATTGCACCTGTTCTCACCACACATCAGGATGTCCTCATCACACATCAGACATTTTCTGATTTCACTTCCTTAAAGCTCTGGCAGTAAGGTGAGTGGTCAAGGATAAAAGAATATAAATTAAAAAGTCATGACAGCACTATGCGTCCAACATGTTTTTTACTCAATTGTTTCGATTTAAGAAGTAACAACATTGTGATGCACTAAGTGCTTTTATTCCTTCTGCTGAGACTCTGAAATCAGTACAGCCGATTTATCATTTGTATAGAAAGAAGAGTACAGGTAGTCCTCAACTTACGGTCACAATTGAGGCCAAAATCTCTGTTACTAAGTGAGGTATTTATTAAGTGAATTTGCCTAATTTTTTGACCTTTCTTGCCACATTTGTCAAGTGGATCATTGCAGTTGTTAAATTAGCAACATGGTTGTTAAGTGAATCTGGCTTCCCCATTGACTTTGCTTTTCAGAAGGTCACAAAAAGGTGATCATATGACCCTGGGACACTGCAACCGTCATAAATACGAGTTGACAAACATCTGCATTTTGATCACATGGCCATGGGAATACTGCAACAGTCACAAGTGGGAAATGGTCAGAAGTCACTTTTACCAGTGCCATTGTAACTTCGAATGGTCACTAAGCAAACTGTTGTAGACTACCTGTATCTTATTTTATTGCCTAAGAAGACCCTGCTAACCCATAGTCATGCTTCAGTTGATGTAATCTTCTAACAGACTGACAATGTCAGAATCTATAAAAGGACAAATCGGACCAACTGGTCTCAGGGGCGGAAAAAATTGGAGACCGGAATGAGCTCTTCAAAGGACACCTGCCATCTGGAACGAGCTCCCCCCGGAGATACGGAGGATCCCGGACTTATGCACTTTCCGCCGTGCCCTCAAGACCTTTTTATTTCAACAGGCTGGCCTGGCCTAACCTCCTTTTTAATTGTTAATTTTAAATTTGTTTTAAAATAATAGGGTTTTTTTTAACTTGTTTGGGCCAAATTATTTAATGGGTTTTTATATTGTTTTTAAATTGTGTATTATATGTGTTTTATCTTTTGGCTGTTCACCACCCTGAGTCCTTCGCCCTGAGTAGGGCAGTATATAAATTTAATAATAAAACAAAAATAAAATAAAGAGTAATCTGAGAGGCTGAAAACTTCTGCTTGCCCCTTGGCAAAGGTATCATAAAAAGATAATGGAATAGAATAGAATAAATAGGATATATTATAAGAATAGAATAGAATAACTTCATTGTCACTTTGAATCATTAATTAATTAAATCATCACATACATTCAAATGAAATTTCGTTGCATACAGCTCTCAAAGGGTCACCCGCCTCCAATATACGCTACATAAACATGACAAAATAAATAAGTACAAAATTATGTATATATATACATATATACCCACCCATATGACATAACCACCAATTAAGCAACCCAGTCAGGCTAACATACTATGTCAAGTCCGGGTTTTCACTAGGAAAAAAAAAACAACCATCGCAAACAGACCTTTTCCTCCTCCATGCATTCGACTTCTCTTTTAAAGCCATCAAAACCGGTGTGGGGGGGATGTTGAGGGGGGGGATCAGAAGTGTCACCGCATCACGTGGCGGTGAGTTCCACAAGTTGCGGGCACGTCCCGTGACGCGCTCCTCCGATCCCGGGGCAGCAGGAGACGAGCCCCTCCCAACTGCCTCTTCTCTTCTCCCTTCCCCCATTCACGGATGGAGGGGGAGGGCAAACAGCCCCTGGGGGCGGGGCCGCAGCAACCGCTGCCCAGGCCACGCCCACCGGCCCGCGCGCCGATCGCGCGAGAGAAAGGGAAAGTGGGGGGCAGGGGGGGAACTCTTTTTCTCTCACCGTGAGGAGATTTTTGTGGAGCCGGTCTTGGCGCCAGGGGACATGGTGGAGTTGATGGCGACAACCGCGGGTCCGGCGACGGGCTGGGTTCCCAAACAGGACAACAAACTCCCCTCCCCCACCCCCCCAAAAAAAATAAGAAAAGAAAGAAAGAGAACGGAAAGGAACCCCTTTCGGCAAGCCTCCGCTTGGCTGGGACCCGGAAGCGGAAGCTCCTTGCCGGAAGTGACGGTAAAAGTGAGGCGGGATAGGATTGGTCGGTGGGTTTAACACCGGCGGTCGCCACCACCACCGCTGCTTAGGTGATTCAAAATGTCTGGGAAGGAGGGTGAGGGAAGGCACGAAAGATTGGGCCCGCGCGACGAGGAATGGCCGCGGTTTTTTTTCTTACTGCCATTGAACTGGCAGGTAAAAACAAAATGGGGCTGAGCTGAGGGCATTCTCGCTGTCTTTGCGCCTTACAAGTGCTGCCCCGGCGTAATTACTTTACTCTGCCGGTAGGGGTCGCCCGTCACCTTTGGGAAGCCCAAACCGGCTCTGTATGAAGTTCACCCAAACTCGTACGTTATATTATTACAATGATATCTAATACAAGTGTTATCATATTATAGTCACTGGTACTGTTATGAGTTCATGTGTTAATATCTTTTTTTTATTCTGGTCTTTGTTTGTGTAACTGATATACCCTGCATTCATACACTGTATTTAAAAATGCTATATATATATATATATATACACATACATACATACACATATACATATACATATACATACACAAATATACATTTATTTATATTTAATTTATATTTATTTATACAAGAGCTTCACAATTAGAATAAAACTTCTGATGTGCTTTTTAACAAATCTCAAGTTGGTAGTAATTAAAAATGCAGGAGTTCCAAACTGAACTATTTGAGAACATTTTAGATAAAGATCATTTCTGGCAAGTGAAATGCAGAATCCAGACATACTCAGAGGTAAGCTGACATGATAGTTGTCTGTATTACAAATAAACAATATAAGCACAGAAAGAAAGAGATTGATGGTGGGAAGTATCATAGCTGCCGTCAAGCACCAGAGAAATCAGGAAATCCAGGGAGTTTGAATGGGTATAAAGATTTATTGCAAGCTTAAGGTCTCTACAAGAATTTGAACTAGCGGTTAAAGTAATTTGGCAGTAAATAAGGAAGTCAAGGTGGGCTGGACTTAGATTGCTTATGGGCGCTAAGAGACTGATGATGCATTTGAACCCTCCCTCAACCTGCTCATTTTCTACAACTGCTGAGTGTACCCTTCTGCTACCCTTCTCCTTCTGCCCATAACTCAATCACCTATTTAGGCAATTTTCTGCCAGAGGTATGATCCAAAAGGCTTTTGTTCTTGACTCTTAGTGAAAGCATGAGAACTCTGTACTGAAGACATTTTGTTCTTTTTTCCCCACACTGATATCCATTAAGAAAATAGAACCATAAATCAAAACATTGGTAACATATCTGGAGAACAAAGTTTGGAGAATTCATCCTCACTCAAAAGTGTCTGTCTTTTCTGGGGACAGAGACCAAAAATTATATTAAAGTTGGAAGCCTGGAGAGCTTCAAATCTTGGATAATCTTTTCTGACATTGTGGCTCTAATAAAAGTGTTACCAGCTATACATTTCAGTCTTTTTTCCCTTCCTGAACGAACTAGGCTATGCTTGTCTTTTATAGTCTTCAATACAAAAATGGAGATACTGGTAAGTTTTTATCTTTAAAAAATGAACAGTATTTATTGGCTATAAATACTTTCTTCATCATCACTTTTTCATTAGTGATCCATACTCCTTCATTGTACAACATTATAAAAGTCACATGTCTACTAATTCAGACATTTAATAAAACAATCATTACTACTTGCATTTTTGAACATTTTAAGGTTAGTCTATTACAAAGCAATGGATAGAAATTAAATATTAGGCAACAGTTGGGTCTCCTAAGAAAGCCAAACATGCCTTATCATATTCAGCATTCTAAACCAAGAACAACCTTCATGTGTACAAGAAGCTCCTGTCTCAGATGTGTGTCTGTCAAATTGTGAAAGGTTACAGATGCGGAGAAGAAAAATACATTGAAACGGGCGTAATATGCCAGAAGTCTTAATTTCATCTAAGCTTGTAATATAGCTTTTATTTTAACATAGATAAGATTGCAAAAAAAAAAAAGAGAGAGAATTCATTTTTGAGGGACCTAGAGGAATTGTTCTCTCATACTCCAGATAGGTCTTCTTGTTTCCTATCTCAACTTCTAAATTTGCATATGGATTCTTGGCTAACCCATAAGTGTTAAGTTGTAAGTGTATAAGTTTTGGTTTGTATCTCTCAGCCTTTCTTGATATGAAGGAATGGCAAAAGAGCAAGAGAAAGAGTATACCCATGAGAACTGTCCTAAGTATTGGCACTAAGTCCCAAAAAAGACCTGATATGTGCCAAATGATGCCCAAGAGTTTAGAAGTATTTCAGGATGAAAAAAAAAATACTGATTATCAAATATTGCATCACAACTACAACAGTGTAAATATCCATCTTTCAAATAAGAAATTCACAAATTCTTCCCCAAATACCCAAAGTCATCTCATTTGAGATCAGGCGTCTCCTTTCAGAGATCTTGCATTTGTGTTACGTGGCCTCCAGTTCTCGCTGTTTTTAGACAAGAGTTGCAACCCTAAGTTGCCAAGGAGTCTTGCTAGTCATTAACTTTTACTTGTTACTGATAAGTAAATGTTGCTCTTCTGTAAGAAAGTTATTGTTTCATTCTACTTTACAATTTTCAGTCAGAAGGTCTCTCAATGTAGATGTTCAGTCCATTTCCTTAAGAATGAAAAGTAGGTCCCAGAAGCTAGTCATCTTTAGTTAGCATCTGGGCAGCAAATCAAATACGCACACAAAGCTCCCAATTATCATCTTTACTCTTTGTAAGGAAACATTGTATTTCCTAATTTGTATGCAGTATATGTTTGTCCCTTAACATGCAAATTATAACCAAATGTATGTTCTTTGGCATTTTTTTGCTGTTACAGAAGTACCTTCCTCCATGTTGCATTCAAAATACTTTTAAGGTTTGGGGGATGCAGGACAACAATTGTCTAATTGTACCATCCCTTCCATTCCAGTCTCAGTTGTTTGCCTGGAACATTTTCGACTGTCTTTTATGCTTTTCAAATTATCAGAAAGATGTTTCCTGAATTTTTTTGTGAGAAAACAATAAATGATAGGATCTAAGACACAGTTGGCACCCAGAAGAACAAGGGTAACCTGGTGGATATCATTTAATAGTTTTTGCCTTTGGCAGCTTATGTCCCACATGTTCAGAACCATCAAAGTCCAGGGTAGATCCACCATGTGGTGGGGCACAAAACAGAGAATGAAGACAGTCAAAACTATAGTCACTAACCAAAGAGCCCGTTGCCTGACCCGAGTGTTCCTCCGAGTTTGCGCTGGTTTTGAAAGCAATGTCCGGATAATGAAAGTATTGCATACCAAGACAAGCAGGAAAGCAACGAAGAAACAAATACAAATAATCACATGGAAGGCAAAAATAGGAGTTGTATTACCGGTGGTGTCATAGCGTTCAAAACAGCGAATCAGATGCCCCTCAGCAGTTGTGCCATCATCAACTAAAAAGTAGATGGAAGGAACACCTATTAGGACCCAGATAGCCAATGTAACATAAATTCCTCTTCTTCGTGTGCTGGATTGAATGGTTGAAATGGGCCTTGTGACGGCTTGGTAACGATTGTATGTTATGACTCCCAGGAACGCCACAGAGCAGTACGTATTGACGAAAAATAAGTAGCCAGCTATATTACACAGAAAGCTGGGCATGATCCAGTTCCCTTTGTTGTTGTAATAAACAATCCACATTGGCAGTGTAACCAGGAAAAGTAAGTCAGCCGTTGTTAAGTTGACTATGAATATTTTTATTTCATTTAATTTCTTCCTAGCATAAAGCCGAGTGAAAAGCCACAGCACATAGGTGTTCGCTACAAAGCCCAGAATGAAAATGATGCTGTAGTAGACAGTAAACAATAGATATCTGAACTCAGAATCCACATGACATTCCTTAGTCTGCCCGAGAAGTGCAGAGAGGGTTCCATTTTTATCAAGTTTGGCGATCATTGCGGTAGGCATGGTGTCCTCATCCTGGGAATAAAATGACAAAAGGAAATAGTTAACACAAGAGAAGAAAACGACAGAATTTCTTATAGCTAACTTGGAGCTGGCTATGTCATTAACACAATCTCATTTTCCTCACTCACACCACTTACTGTGGAGCAGTCCATTGCCTTACCCTCTAGGAATCCCCTTTCTGTGGATTCTCTAGGAATTGTGAGGGTTTTTAGCTAAACCTGTTATCTGAGAAATTATGTCTTTCCATGTTTAACTACTTTCGCCTGTCAGGAGGTTGTACTTCGAGATTGCTCCTTTGGCAATCTACATTTAGCAACTGGGTTGGACAGTCCGCCCTCAACTCTTGGAATACCTCTATACCGATACCCTGCATTTATTCAGCATTTACATTAATCATCCATTTCATTCTCTCAAGTGTGATCCCATTATAAGCATTCAGAATACTCCATTTTTTTTACATTAGTTCAAGTAAACACATAATAAAGTTTAAGAATCGGACTAACTTTTTGCTTTTTTTTTAGCTTATTAAGTAAAATAATTACAGTTAAATGTCTAAAGTTTTTGGAGATCTTCCTAAGACACTGCTTGCTTGGTTCTTACCATCTGTGTATCTTCAGTTTTTTCAGGGTAGGACTGGATGGAATAAGAATGAACAGAGCTGGTTCATTACCAGGAAATTACATGTCTTACTTCTTTCTCCTTGCAATGTTTTCTAAAGCTCATAAGGGGTTATAACAAGGCCATCTGTGCTCAACAGTTTCTCACTTTTTTCCACACAGTTCTTCATATATGATTAAGGCTACTTAATCTGTTGTTTGTCTGATCTTTTTGTCTGGGAACCTGTGGCAAATTAAGGTATTCATCATTCAGCAGACTTACGTATTAGTGTTCTCTTTTCACTTGACTCTGAGTTACCCTAAGAATAATGAAAATCTGGAGCTCAAGCTGCATTAGTTGCCTGCAAGTTCTGGCAAGGGGTGGAAATGAGTGGAGGGGAAGGAAGTGGAACTACAGTATATAAGAAAAGAGGAAGGAATCTGAGCTTTTACTGAGAAAATCTAACCTGAGCAAAGGTTAAAGTTTAGCACAGCTTAATGCTTTTCAGTCATGGTGTCTCTGGCAAAAGCAAGGCTTCAGCCACTAGTAATAAGAGAAATGTTCTTAGAAACTTTTAAGAATACCGTCCCTGTCCTAATATTCCTTTTTACTTACTCTTTTCATGTATCCAAATTGTGTTTATCCTTTTATCTGTTATCTTATATATGATTGACAAAATAAATAAATAAATAAATAAAAATAAATAAATAGAGGTGAGCTTTGTGCAGGAGATTGTGTCAAGACTGGGTTTTAGAGTCGCTTTCACTGAGGGCTGGCTAAGACAACGTGTGTCAACCAGGAGCTTCATCTTGAATGTGTAGCTCTTCTTCTTTTTTTTTTTTACCTACACAAACCAATTGTATAATAACTAAGAAAAGCTGTTCTATACTTTTACCCAAATTATGTAAATATTTGCAATAGTTATTCGGACCAAAATGGTTTTCTGAGGATAATAATGAATGTTATAAAAGTCATCCGGAAAAGCAAGCGACACTGGTTTTCCTTGATGCCCAAAAGGCCTTTGACAATTTGAATTGGAACTTCATTACAACATAATTAAATTATATGGAATTGGGGGAAAGATTGGGAAAACATGGTGGGGAAAATATATTCCAAACAAACAGCCAGGGTAGTTATAAATGAGGGGTTGACAGAAAAAATGATATTACAAAAGGGGTTAGGCAAGGGTGTCCCCTTTCTCCTCTTCTATTTATTTTATCACTCAAAACTCTTCTAATGAAAATTAGGGAAGATCAGGAAATAAGGGGCTTAAAAATTAGGAAGGAAAAATACAAGACTCAAGCATTTGCCGATGACATGGTATTCATTTTGGAAGATCCATTAGAAACGGGTTCTAAATTGATACAAAAGATAGAAGAATTTGGTGAAGTAGCAGAACTCAAAATTAATAAGGATAAGTCGAAATTAATAACAAAAAACCTTACAAAGGGTCAGGAAAAGGAATTGGAGGAAAAAATAAAAATGAAGATAAAATAAAATAAAATATCTGGGAATTTGGCTTACAGTGAAATGCTTCTCAATTAAGGAGGACAACTACGATAAATTGATACACCAAATAAAGATTTAGGAAATTGGGAAAAATTACAAATCTCATTTCTAGGGAGGACTACAACAGTGAAAATGAATATATTGCCGAGAATTTTATTTCTGTTCCAAGCGATACCGTTAAAACTAGGGAAAACATTCTTTCAAGAATTAAATAAATTAATTTCCAAATTTATATGGCAAGGAAAAAAGCTCAGGATTAAATTAAAACTTTTGCAAGACACAAAGGATAGAGGGGGATTGGCGTTACCAGAATGGGAAATTTATCACCAAGCGGCGAGTTTAGTATGGTTAAAAGACTGGATGGAGCTGAAAAATAACAGAGTACTAACAATAGAAGGCCATGACCTGCAAGCAGGGTGGCATGCATTCCTGTGGGATGAGAAATATAAATCACATAAATATTTTCAAACACAATTGATCAGGAATGCATTGCTACAGATTTGGAAAAAAACAAAACAAAAACACTAGAATCCCAATGTGGTTATCACCAACAGAAGCACTGATATACCCAAATTTATTGGAGAAAAATAAGATAATTAGATACAAGGAATTGGTAAATGATCAGGGAGATTTGAAAACGAAACAAGAATTGGAACAAGAAATTGGTAGGGTGATGGATTGGTGGACATTTGCACAAGTGCAATCTAAATTTGTAAGAGATAAAAAGATATATGAAATACGAAAGGAGCCGCAAGAATTAGATAAAATTATTCATGGAACAGAGATAAAATTAATTAGTAATATATACCAATATCTATTGAGGTATAAAATGGAAGAAGAGGTAGTTAAGTATACTATGATTAGATGGGCCAAAAATTTTGGCTACAATATAGAATTGGGGAAATGGGAAAAATTATGGGAAATAAACATTAAATTGACTCTTTCAACAGCATTCAAGGAAAACCAGTTAAAAATGTTCTACAGATGGCACTTCACACCAGTACGACTTGCTAAAATGTCTCCGAACAATTCTCCAAATTGTTGGAAATGTAAAAAAGTCCCCGGAACATATTATCATCTCTGGTGGACATGTCCCAATGTGAAAAAATATGGGATTAAAATTAGAAGTTGGATAGAAGAAATAATTGGCTATAATGTGGATTGGAAACCAGAAATGTTCTTACTGGGGATATTGAACAGAACTTACAGCAAAGAAATTAGATATTTGATTCTGCATATAATTACAGCAGTAAGGATAGTCTACGCACAGTCCTGGAAAAGTGAAAAAATCCTGGACTGTGCGGAGATGGATAAATTAACGAAAGAAATAAAAGAAAAGGAAGATACAGAATATTATCAAGTATGGACTAAGTGGTATGAGTGGCTCGAGATTAGGGGAAGTAAATGTGAATAAACAATGGAGAGAAGAAGGTGACAAATGTGTAAAATATTGTAAATGAAGAAAATTAAAAATAAAGAGACGATAAATGATAATAAAGGATGGCAAAAATGGGGAATGTATATAGTAGAAAGTAAGAGGAACGAAACTGATATGTAATACATATCATGTGTTTGTGTTTTGTATGTTGTGTTGTGTTGTTGTAAAATCAATAAAAATAAATATTTGTGATAGTTAATTTCTTTTTTGAAACTTCAAACACACAGTCCTAATGGTATTGGTATCCTGATTTTATAGTTTGTGCCAATTATCTAAGTTTTGCTCAATTCTTATAACACATAGATAAAGCTGTGACCTCAATGGGATGGCTATAATTTTACCCTTGAATGTTATGTTACGCTGGTCAGTGACTGAAATAAAGCGCCCATTGCCAAGAAGATGATTCATATCCATTTGAAAAGATCCCACAAGTTACATGGCTGGGAGCCAGACTTAGATTGATTTGAAAATCTATGTCTCATTCTATGTTGCATAAAATATTTCTGGCATTTTTGCAGTCAAAATCTTTTCAAGAAGAATTTTAGGCATAAAGTTTGCCAATATTAGCATTTTCTTAGGTTGAATTCAAGTGACCTCTGATTACCATTGGGTCCAAACCCACCAGACAGAAAGCTAACTTTAACCAAAGATTTAAAAAATGGTACCAAGCCTTACGGACCACAGACACCAAACCCACCTCTGGCAAGATGGTAATACTGTAAGAATAGCTCTCTTAAATTTAGATTGGACAACTTCAAGGAAATAGAAAAACCTCTAGATAGCTGAGATGTGTTGTGCAATATTGGACAACGAGGACTAGAATAGCATTGGTGTTATAATTAAGATAGATCGATAGCATTTAGATAGCATTTTTGTTTGTCAATTGAATTTTATAACTTCATGAAAATGCAAAGACTTCCCTTTTTCCTAGCTTTTCTTCTAAGTAGAAAGAACCCCAAACTCTCTCTGCTATACATTTTCTTCTCTTGAAAATTTAGCAATAGGCTGATCTTTTTTTTAACTTCCCTGGGGGCAATATTTCAGTTATAATGTTCTGCTGCCTTCTTTTTACTCACTTCCTCCTCCTAGGCAAATAAGTGCATTAGAAAGAGTTATTTAACTTTTATCAAATTAGTGTCTTTTTAACTTCCTTATAATACAGCTTCAAGTGATATTTTCTAAATATTTTTACTTTATTTTTCTGGGTGCATCTGCAATTATTTTATATGGACGGAAGTGAAACTGGTGTGGGCATTCTTGAGAAATTCTACATAAACCACAAAAGGAATTGGGCAACATGAACCAAGGTTGAACATAGCTACAGATTTGTTTGTGCTTCCTTTCTCAATTTTCAATTGATTCTTGCTTTTTAAAAAAATTCTAAAACTATTAGGCATCTTGATTAAGTCTAAGGGCAATCATTCTCCCCTACTAGAGAATAAGCCTTACTTAATAACACATATGCAGA